GGGGCAGGTTGGAAAATAGGATAAGGGCTATAAATGTATCGCAAAAGGATCTCATTTATAGTCATTTGGATGAATATATGTACAGGATATGGTGTAACTTCCCCATTGACAGTCCCATGCTAAACTGGGAGATTTTTCTCTCACATGTTTGAGAAAGATATCCCATGTAACCTTTTTTATTATCTATTTTATGCTTTTTTCTATAAATATACATTTCCATTCATCATATATGCCTCTTTAATGTGATTGGTCCGTTCGAGGTCGTTTGCTGATTGGTTGTTAGTGGTGTCGAAAGTTTAACTTTGCCACTACAAGTAATACGATACGCTTTGAAATAATAATAATAATAGAGATGATTATTTCTAGCTCAGGTAGAGAATTTTAATGTGCTGAGTTGTGGTTTAATTTTACAGAAGATTTCAGTGTCCTCAGTCTTGCTTCAATGAAAACTTCAGCAAGAAGTGACATAATCTTAATTCCTTATAAATGACACAGAATAAGACCCGGATTTTCAACACGAATGGTCAAGTTAGCTCTTTGTGTATGCTCCACAGAATTGCCGTAAGCGTAAGTGAAAGGCGCTTTCCAACAGGCTACTGAGCGTCAGTTAGGACGCTCGCCGACCATGCACATGGCTCAAGGTTCGATACCCGGCCATTGGACGCACTCCTTTACCTCGCTCGCTAAGCCAGAAATAAGTAAGCTGGTAAAGAGGAAAGGTTGGGCATGAGGCTGACTAGCACCCCCATCCTGTAAAAATAAAACACCACTGCTACAGAAACTTCAAGCCACTGGCTTGAGGCCTTATGTTCCAATGGGAACGTGAAGGAAACAAAACAACAACTGCAAACTCTTATTAGTTAGCATATCGAGACTGTGAAATCATAGTCTTACAGATGCGAAATCGACTGTGACAATTTCCTACACAGGTTTCACGTCATCTCTAATAGACTTTTTACCTAGACTAGAAGACGACACTGAGGAATTTGAGATTTCAGAAGCAATATATATATACATTAAAAATAAGACTCATTGCAACGATCTCAACTAACGTTACCTACCAGAATAAATTTAACGAATTTATCTCTTCAGCATCACATTTTATAAAATGCCTGAATAAAAACGTACTCTTCTTCTGCTATCTAAAAGCCGCCAAAACCTTCTTACTACCTCAATATCCTCAAAATCCAAGGGAAAAGGAATTCAATACTCCTTCGTTTTTCATAGAGTTTGTTTATTATTCCCAACCACTGCTAGATATTTTCGCTATTTATTCCATCCTTTTTGCGTTCCGAATGGTACATATGACTTCAAGCTTTGAAGTTTCAATTGATTAAAAATGCCCATTAAAATTTTTTTCAAAAGAATGGATACTGAATAAAGAATACTCTTTGCGATAACCTCTTCTTAATCAGGCTCTACAGGTATATATACAACATTATAGTGAATGAATGAATGAATTAGTGTTATGAACAACATTAATGTTGCTGTTTAAATAACATCGAATCAATAATAATAACATCAATAGATTACAGCTCAATAGCATCAACATAAAATAAGCTGAATGTCAGAAAAATTAGGAAGGATAATACTACAAATTCATGTACTTATAGCTTCTCCTGATGCCCAACCAGGGCAGTAGTAGTGGCTGGCTGAACTTGCTTCTTTTGAACACAGAGCACCTGTTGTTTGAGGCGAATTGCAATAGCCTTTGCTGTCTGGAGCATGTGGTGCTTCAATGATTTTGGCAATTTATAAGGCACCCGGTAGATGATAGAGAAGGATTCTTCAACTCTGGCTGGCTTTGTGGCCGGTTTGCACCAGACGGTCCAATATCGAAAGGTTAATTGTTTTCACAACACCTTTCCTTAGCCATAGTGGGTGTTGTTCTCGAGTGAGGGCGAAAAATCAAGTTCCTAGAGCAACGGCCAATATAACCCGTTCCATCACAAGTACAGTTGGATTGGTAGATACAATTTGAAGTGTCAAGTCGAAGAATCACCATCGTTCGTGTAGAGAATAAGACGTGTACTTCACCAGAATTAAAAGTTCCTTGAATAGATTTTCTCAGTTTCTTCGTAATTATTTCGCCGGGTATATCGCCCTTGAATCGCAGTCGTATATAGAGTGGCTTCTTGTTTACGGATAGTGAGTAGTCCTTTCACGCTTTCTTTGTCGTGTGTTTCTTGTCGGGATAGCTATTTTCGATCAAAGTATCAAATGCAATGCTTAATTCATCTTCAATTACTTCTTCTGAGCATATATCTCTAACTCTGTGGCTGAGGGTCTCCACTAAGTTTTTTTTGTACTCGACAGGAGCGAAGCTGTGAAAATGTGTATATTGTCCTGTTTTCCATGTACTTTTTCTATGCAAATTTCTTTTTATGCTACCATCTGGTTTTCTTGTAAGGAGGACATCCAGAAAGGCATTCACTATAATGTATATATAACTGTAGAGCCTGATGATGAAGTTATTGAAAAAGGTACTCTTTGTTCAGTATCCATTCCTATGAGGTTTTATTAGCGGAGGTGTGAGGCTGCTAACTTCAAGCTCAACTTTCGCTTTAAGCCTCACTTAATACTGTCAGGTAAAATAGGCTTCGGTTTAGGATTGCTTAGGCTACAAATGGCACCAAGATCTTGGGCATGGTTGGCGAATAATTCTCATTCTTTACATACATACATTTTAAATTAAGCTGTTATCTCAATACATATATTGGTCAGAGCAACAAGGTTTCCCCAGGGAGAATCCTCAATCCCCCCGAAACGATGGACAAATCAAGAGTACTCACTCAGCTGTTTTACTCATGAGAATTATTTGATAAAATGTGAACAGTAAGCAGTAAGATTGTAAAATAAAAAAACATTAATAAATATTACTAATGATGACTAGCATTGTAATGAAAAAAATCAGTAGAAGTGAATGATTTAAGTCTTCTGGATGAGTGAGGATAAATTCTTCCTGTTGACTGACGCCTTGCATTATGATGTCCCGTTGGTATTGTCAGGATTCCGCTTCATTTTCATGAAGGATGTAACTTTTCACCTTTGGATGTGCCTATTCAAAAGAAATAAATGACATAAAGAAAGCAGAAAACGTAAGTAGTATTGTATACTATCAAAGAGTGGCGTGAGCTACTGATAAGATTTATCAGTAGTATATAAAGTGACACGAGAAAAATCAAATGACGGAGAGAGCGAATGAACCAGTGTTGTAGCAGAAAGTGAGAGACACTAAAAGTAGAAGAATCCACACAATATCAAGGTCAGAAGTAGCAGGCAAACAATGGAAGTTCTTAACAAGGGATGATTAGGAGGTAAGGTGTACAAAATCTGGCTTACATAGAAATACCAAATTCCAAATAAATATTTTGTTACCAGGTCTCTTGTCATCTACTAGTACAATGCAACCGCCAGAAGTCAAACCCTAGTCGACTGCCTGGAAAGTAGCGATGGTAACCTCCACACCTCAGCCACGGCTGTGAGCGTTACTGTCAACAAGGACTTCTGAAGCACACCATTATTCCTCTCTTTTCTCCGCTGCCTCAGATTAAGCTGATTTCACAATGTTTCGTTTCCTCTCCTCTGGGTCACCTTTGAAACCTTGCCCAAATCACTATTTCCCAGTCAGATTCCACTTGAGAACCTGTCTGGCGTGTGCTATCATTCAGTGGTCTTCTGAATGTATTTTTTTCTACATATTTGTTGAACAAAAGTTCCTTGCTTAGTTCGTTGCCTACTAGAGTTCTTCACTGTTCATCCATTCTGGCAGGTCGACCATGTGATTTTCAGTATGAAGTGAAGAGTGGAGGCTGTTGAGAAAAATCTACAGCCTACTGTGGTGAGAGGTGTCTGCAAGCCAAAAATTGTAAACAACAATTTACGTCAATGTTGCCCTTCTCGAAACGAGGTCATGAGAAAATCAGCAATAACAAAGCTTAACCTTGAGGATTCACCAACTAATCACAACATGGGCAAATACGATTCTCAGAAATATGGCTTAGCTTTCTGAGAAATGGTCACAGGCAGTATGGAATAACCTTCAGCAAGGAAACAACCAATCAAAAGATCTTGCTTCTCCGCTAACCATAACGACAACAATAATATACATAAAAATCCATAAATATCTGTTGATTTTCTCAGTATAGGATCTGTTGCCTGGCCGTTAACTTCTGTCGATACACTCCTGTCCAACATAAATGTACAAAGAGGTGAAGATGGACTGAACATACGTTCAAGAAATCACTGACCGATACCGCACTGTGGTTCTACCATCGAGTGGAATCTCAGTGAGAGGTGAATTGGCTAGAGAGTCTAGGTAGCTCATCTCTCAATCGAGGGACCACCATAGGTTGTGTAGAAAATAAGACGTGTAGTTTGTCAGCATTAAAAAAGTTCTTTGAACTGATTTTCTTAATTTCTTCGTAATTATTTCACCGGGTATATCGCCCTTGAATTGCAGTCGTATATAGAGTGGCTTCTTGTTTACGGATAGTGAGTAGTCCTTTCACGCTTTCTTTGTCGTGTGTTTCTTGATAAATTTGTCGGGATAGCTATTTTCAATCATGGTATCATATACAATGCTTAATTCATCTTCAATTACTTCTTCTGAGCATATAGCTGTGTAACCCTGTGGCTGAGAGTCCTTACTAGATTTCTTCTATACTGAAGAGGAACGAAGCTATCAAAACAATCGTTAATAGCTAACTTGAGGGAAATATATGCACTGAGACCATTTAAATGAAACTCTTCTGAACTTAGCGAAAATATGCAACCTATGAAATGAAGCTCCGAAGATACCTATTCGAGAGTATGGAGGATTTCAGCCGCTCCATTCGGGTATCAAATTTCGCACTACTTACTTCAGCCTAAGTATATGAATGGTATCATCAACCCTGACACATAACCTATCACAACTGGATAAGTGAGCTCTAATCACCCAGTTAAGAAGATCTATTACAGTTTGACTGAATAAAAATAAAACGTAAGACAGGACTTACTTCACATAACCAGTCTAAATATTCTTCAATTGACATATCTAAAACACGCATTCGTATAAAATCAATAGCGACAGTAGTAGCTGGCAAGAGAATTTCCCATAGGGTGAGAGACTGAAGAACACGTGTGAACGATAACACAGTGAATTGACTCGGTGATAACTGTAGTGGAAAGATAAAACAAGAAATACATACAAATACACGAGGTTATGTATTGTTATCTGTCAGCAATTGAGTGGCACTTACTAACGGCCAAAAATTTTATGAGATTATATCATTTCTCGTACAAAAACAGACTCTCTTACCACATACCTCGATGTCTGCCTATTACATTTGATGATACTGTCTTCGACCAGTTGAAGATCCTATGACCTGTAGCTTACAGAGATGGATATATATATATATATTCAGAGATTCCTGCGAGGTTTCGAAAGCCTGACAGACAGACAAGGAAGACAAGCGAAGTCTTACATCTGAGATTATCGAAAGCGATAAAACGGACTTATACTGCCGCCACCCTTTGTTTGTCATTTTCCAGACGACCAATCATGTTTCCTGAAGTGTAAGACAAGCTACTTAACTGTGCCACTTCTTTGTGTTTCTATAAATTTAATTGCTCCTGTGAAGAAAGCTGGCTATACACGGCGAACAACTAGACAGTTTAACAAACGCATTAATGAGCATCTTCCTTCATTGTTCAGTGGGAAAGGTCAAATAAAATCTATAAGAAGTTCTATTTTGGCTAATCTGATTGATCGTAGCGGTCACTAAGTGGACAAAAATGTTGCCTTTAAAGTTATCTATCGCATTCCATCGAGCCTTTCGAACGGGATTCGAACTTGTCTTTTACACACAGCTGAAGCTATAGGAATTAATTCGAAAGAGAACAATCCTCGTCGTCTTTGCATACAACAAAAGAAGTTTGTTCAACCTTTGTCTCTCCCTTGCTCAGCCTAGGTGAATTCTATTCAAGACCCTCCCACCCTTTCTTATTTTCCATCTCCTTCGTACTTTTATGATATTTATTTAAACTCTGATTATCTGTCCACTTCACCTACTTTAAGTATTACGTAACTTTTAAGATTTGACCTAATTTGTTTATTGAATTGTCTACATATACACACATATTACTACCTTTGTTATTCTTATCGCCACCTGAATAAACCTTGTTATCAATATTTTGTTATCATTATAATCATCGTTATTAATGACGTTCAAAACATTTACCACATTATTGTTATTATTATTATTATGATTATTTGATCCACAAAATCACAGTTATTGGTTAAAAATGTTTATATATAAATCTATGCAAAAATTGGAGTACAGCCTGAAGAAGACAAAACAGCAATATTGTTAGCCTATTATGTGTCTTATTCTAAGGCAGACAAGAAGGCATGCAACAGTTCCTCACCATGAATCTGGGATCAGATGCAGACCCAGCAGTTGTATTGGTGCTGACAAACTTACTTCAACAAACACTTTCCACGTCTCAGGAAGTATCTGAGGCCCGGGTACCATCGTTACAGTTTATCGAAAATGTTTCAAATGCTAAATTCTATCAACTACAATTGGTCAACATAGCACAATTAACGGGTACTAGTCAGTTAGAGACAATAACCAGACAGGTGTTGAGCACAATTATAGCTACAAGAGAGTCAACAAAATGAAGCACTGGGAAAAATAAATTGAAGATTTGAAGCAGAGACTAGCAGTACTAAAAATGAGCATCAGGCGATATCGGTGTTCTTCATATGGCGAAACTGTGACACTGATGGAAGTGCTCCCAAAAGATACAACCGATTTCATTCTTGATAATATGATGTATGTTATTTCTATTCATGGATAATCCCCATCCAGATATTAATTAAAACAAAACAATAGCACTATCCAGCCAGCATGGTTGCGAAAAGGCAGTAGTGGTGCAATAAGGAGTGCGATAATTGAACAACACCTGGTTAACACTGATCATTCCATTTCAACAAACGCCTCCTGCTTCAAAGTAATCTACAGAGTCAAGGATAACCTATCAAAGGCAATACGGTTTCGTCTTATTTGTATTGCTGAAGCTCTGGCCGTTCATATAGAAAATTCGGAGCTATGCATACAAAAGAGGATTACTCAACCACTTCTACTGTCATGGTAACAACATTTTTGATTTCATTTTTTTTTATTTCGATGACTTAACTTTGTTTCTTTGCTTATTCTTTAATTGCTTAGAATTCTTGTATTCATTTAGAACTCTTACGTAATTTCGTATTATCTACTTTGTTCCTATGTGCATCCTGAGTAAAACTCACTCAACAAGCTATTTATATTATTATACAACTTCTTTTTTAACAACTGTTTGTGACAACTCATCACCTTTGTTACTACCCTAATTTCATTAACACCTAATTTTCTTAACTGATTTTGTATTACGTAACTCCAATTACAAATCTTTACCTGTTTAGTTAAAATAACCATAACCGATTGTATTTTTGTTTGACAAATTTAATGTATACATACATACATACATACAAAATAACCCATAATATGTATCAGCGATTGTACAGCTAAGAAAGCGAGTTCGCTGGCGAAAAGAGACTCTTCGCTGATCTACGTCTTTTGTATGTTATTTCTGTCCAGCTAGACAAGAGGCCACTTAGACACAACTAAATTCTAATAGTCAGGCTCATACATAGCAAGATATATGTTCAAGTGTACTTTCAATTATTAGCGGTTTTGAAATTAGTCATTTTTATTTCATTTAGTAATGTATTAAAATTGGAAATACAGACTGCCGACTTACACACAACGAATGTGTGTGGGTGACTGTTGCTTTCCAGATGGGAAAGTTGATTCCCTCCAGGGACACTTGGATTAGAAGAAGTATTCGCGTTGTATGGCTCCTGAGCCCATAAGACAACTACTTGAAGCCAATCACACATACAGACTGTTTGAATTGATTTTCGAAGTTGTGTCTACACCAAGATCTTACCATCGGCTACGAACAGCTGCAAGATAAGTAGGGGTCAACTTTCTCAAACCTCCCTCCAGCATCCCAGAGCCGAAAGGCCGCAAAGGTGGCCAGTTGGTCATCTGAGAGAAACACTTTACTGCCTTTACACTCCGATTCGCCCTCAGGTCCCCCAACATAGTACAGAAAACTTGTTCTACAATGATAATTGGTTCTGGTCTACCTGAAAGACTTTTCTATCATAGTAGGACCTGTGGAAATAATCGTTTCAGCCAATACAAGCCAGACCATGATGGCAGGAGTGCAGTTATCGATCGGGAATAATAATAATAATAACAAAAGGTTGAAGTTACTCACTTGAGCATAACTTTTAAGTTTTGACAGAACATACTTAATTTTGTGCTCATTTAATAATTCTGCCAAATCGATTAACAAATCCACATACCTAAATTTAAAACAAAACAGAGCGCTCAACAAATAGACAAACTGAAAGAAATGAGGTAAGTATAAAAATTATCTGCACTTTGATTTTTTGGGATAGGGTCACTGGTTCCACGCCGAAGCTCCTCTCTTTCTCTCTCTCTCACTTTCTCTGGGGTTAATATAGGCTAGTTAATTAAGCTGGATATGGGCTGCGGAACCCCCCCCCTGTTTCACCTGCAACCCGATGGAATACTAGTAATAGTAAGTAAGTACACAGCAGAAAATCGATTCATAGAAATTTTAATACCGGTAAGCTGCAGCTGATATTTTTTACACGATTGACTGGGATTCCTCAGCCGATAATTATTTTCAACTAGATATGGTTTACGAGGAGAGGCTTAGAAACAAAATTACACAGTTTTAGAAGGAATTACAAATGTGTAAAAATGAGCATGGGAACAAAATTGAAATAATAATTTTCAACTTGAGATGGAAGTTAAGAGGTGCGAATATCGAGTACAAGAGCCTTAGAAACAAAAATTACACAGGATTAGGATATAACTGTAAAATAATTATTTTGAGCGAATTATAAATGTGAGCAGGAAAAGCATGGAAGTTTGTTTCCATGTTTCTTATTATCACCTACGATGATATTCTTAACTGTAATGGACTGGATTATGCATCAGACTGTGTGTGTGTGTGTGTGTGGGGAGCGAGGAGACAGGAATACACTGGACAACTGATGAGAAGACTCCCAGAAGATCTGGATTTCGCAGATGATCTATGTCTAATCTTACACAAACTCGAAGGCTTACAAGCAAAAACCAACAAACTGGCTGAAGAAGCAGGTGGCGAAGACATGACTTCAGGTGAACATACAGAAGACAGAGGTGATAAAGATAACCAACCAACCAGCAGAAACAGCAACAACAACAACAATAACAGCACCGTTCACCATCAAAACGGGGAAGATTAAACAAAGGTTGCCTCCTTCACTTGTCGGAAAAAGGAAGTATCGTTTCAACCAGAGACAGGAGGAACTGATGAAGATGTCAGAGCCAACCGGTCAGCCAGAATCTGGAAGGCAAGACACGCCTTCATCAATCTGAGAATAATTTGTAAATCTTCTACACTCAGAATTAAGGAACAAGTTCCAGATTCTCAACACCATTGTCAAATCGGTCCTTCTATACAGGTCAGAAACTTGCCCAGCGTGTCACGAAAAGGATTTACAAGAAGTCTCAGACTTTCATCAACAGCTGTCGCCTTCGCCAGCTCCATATGGAAGATCAAATAGCCAACTGGCTAGAAAGAATAAGTGATAACAAACTGTGGGAATAAACCAACAGTTGAGGGCCTGTCGGTCAACAAATATGCAGGAGAAAATCGGAATGGATTGATCGGGCGTATACAGAGGAAACCGTCAAATGACATCGAGCGCCAGCCAGGACATTGCTTGACTGGAATCCAAAATGGGGAATGACGAGAGTCTCGTTGGTGTGAGAGTCATATGGAGGGGATCGTGTGGGGGAAGAGATGAGAGACTCTAGGCAATCGTGGACCCAGCTACAAAAGATGGCAGAAAATAGAATAAAAGAGAGATGTGTTGTTGTAGGTGTATGTCCCACTCGGAAACCAAAGGAATAATAATAATAATCGCCTACAGATGCTTTCGAAAAGTGGTCTGTTATTTATTTACTATTATTCCCTCGGGTTCCTAGTGCAACGGAGGACTTCAGCAGTAAGTCTCCATTTTGTTCTATTCTCTTTAGATCTTTCTGTATCGCCCCCCCTCATTTCCCATAGTCTCTGATCTCCTCCTATCACGATCTCCTCCATGTCACCCTCTGAGCATCGCCTAAGCCGTTATTTTCCATTCGGGTTCCACTCGAGAAAGGACCTGACGCGCGATGTCATTCAAAGGTCTCCCCAGCCTGTGTCTAAGACAGCTGCCGATAAAAGTTTGTCGGAAATACTTTACGTGACGCCGTATGCTTCTGATCCCTATAGATGAAAATCCGGATTTTGTTGCCTATTCTTATTGCATAAGATTTCCAAATTGATTTCAGAGTGCTGAAGGTGTACCCTCTCTTCCTCAATCCATACTGTTCACCTGTTGTTGAAACGATACTTCCTAGACAAGTGAAGGAAGTAACCTCCTTCAAACTTTTCCCGTTGATAGCGGTTGACACCTGTTGTTGTCGTCGTCGTCAGTTTTTGGTTATCTTCACTATCACCGTCTTCTCCATGTTCACTTGTAGTCCTCTCTTTACTGTCTGCCTCTCCTATTGTAACAACAGAAGACAAGGGCCAGGCAACAGATCGTTTTATTATGAAAATCAACACGTATTTATACATATTTCACATACATTATTATAGACAAGCGCAGTCATCTGATTGGTTGTTTATCAGAAGTTAGGCAGACAAACGCAGGCTTCAGATTGGTTGTTTCGGGATTCCTTGACAAATAGAGTTCTCTATCTGCGAATCATATTTTGCCACGTTAACTTTGCTGTGATTGGTTGTTGACTCAGCCTTGTTCATATTTTCTCACGGCCCATATTAACGTAGCTTAGTGTCAACCAATCGGCTAGCAGCCTGCTCTCACCACACTATCAGTTTGTTGGTTTTCGCCTGTAAGTCTTCGATTTTATGTGACATTAAACATAAATCTGGGTGGTATTTACAGTCATTCTTTAATTATGATGCATGCACATAACTTTAAAACCTTATGAAGAAGAAGTCATCAAAAATGTGAATATTCTTTATCCAACTAACCCGCTTTTTGAGATAAATTTTATCCCCAGCCATGGAAACGCTCAGATGAATACATAATATAAGACATACTTACTGAGACTAAAAAACTGAACGATAAATCCCGGTCATTCTGTTCACCTTCCGCTAACATAGAAAAGAACTATTAAGTCAAATAATTGGAAAGTGGAGACGTAAAAATCAAGGAAAGTTTCCTTACGAAGAATCATTTTCATGTGTTACAAAAAGAGATTTTTTACACTGTTTTCATTGAGAGTTACATTCTCCAATGCAGCAGACAGTTAATTTAGTCATACGGTAAAAAATTACTTGCATAGCTATTTCATCCTAGTTTGAATCTGTCCAGTAGTACGTATCCATGACCCCACGTACTAGGAATCAAACCCATGCATGACCTTCAGGTTAAAAGAAGAGCTCGCTGGCCATTCAGCCAATGGGATAGAATCCGATGACTAGCCTCCATCAATTCTAACTTCTACCAGCATAATCCATGAAGGCTTGTCTGGCATTTGTCAACATACGCCATCTCTGGCTTGGTAGACGTGATATCCACCTGACTGACTGTCGATCACAGGGTGTGTGTACTGCTCAGCATTTTGCTCCATCCTCCCTTGTGGATGTGAGATATGTCCATTGGAAGCGGAAGACACCGAAAGGTTAGCTGTCTTTGATCATAGGTGTCTGCGTTCCACCTCTCGTGTTAGGTGATAAAATAAGGTGAGCAATACTGAGGTAAGGAAATCAGTCGATGAGGTTGCTAAGTTACACCGATTGAGATGGCTGGGACATGTGTTATACATACCTAGCTATCGTCTTCCTCGATAATGGGCAATGTTAGCTGACTGACGAACGATGGATCAGGTTGGAATAGATGCAGTGGTGGTCAAAAGAAAACATGGCTTCATCAGTCAAAGAAATCCGCAACAGTTAGTTTACGATAGACACGTGGGAAGATGTAGGCCGCTGTCTGGCTGGGGTCCTCAAGATGGTGAAACCAACGACGGCTGGAGACATTTGGTGATATGGCTGAAAATCGTTCTCAACGGCTGGCGCAGATGCATTCATTCTTTGTGATTTTTTGTATCCAATAAAACTCTTTTTCCATATTACTATTCTTTTTCCCTCACACTTCCATTTAGTATCTCTTTTTTCAGCCTCACTTCACTGTCTTCTGTTGCTTTGTGTGATACGTGGAGAGTAGTTGCCCATTTGTGTAAAGTTCCATGTTGAAACCAGTCTGTCAGTCAGTCAGTCAGATGAAGTTGGATGTAGGGAAAGATACTCCCCAATGGCACTGGATAACTGTCGCGATACATGCCACGAATCAGTAGAATTGAGAACTGATAGGCACCACTGGATTCTCTCCAAGTGTCTGAATGGTCAACGAGCTCTCCTTTTAACCTGAAGTTCTTGGGTTAACTCCAGTGTGAATGGGGTTATGGGTGCGTACTGATTAAGAGTCGCAAACAAGAACGAAATGGCTGTCCAGGGTTCTATAAATGAAGTCTGCTCGTGATCAAACTTGAGATCCTTTGGACCTAATCTATAAAACCAGATAGATGACATTATATTCATTTCTGAAAAGAAGTGCAAAGGAGTGTACAAGCGCTACACAGGATACATTGCCTCAAAGAGTTATGGTGATAACACCCAGTTTCTTACAGAAGTATCTGAATACATCCAAATGACAGTCTTTTAAGGTTGAGAGCGAGAGTCATAGTTAGATTAAAGGGGTTACGGCCTAATTCTCTCTTCCCACCCATATTTACCATTTTGTAACGCATTTGATCTATCCAAGATTGTTCTTTCAGTAACCCGAGTGGGAATGTAAACTTTAATTTGACTTGCATGGATTTCAGTGGATTGGTCACAGGATCTCATCATAAGTTGACATAGTTTAGAGAACCATTGATAACCAGCTAGAAGTACTGAAAAGCTGTTTCACCCAAGTTTTGGGTCTCATCAGCAGTACGCATCCACCGAGGTTCTAATTCAGGACCTTCCGGTTACAAGGTACAGTAGGCTGAATGTGAGGACAAACACTCGCCACCGACGACATTTGTCAGTGCCAGTCGCATCAGCTCGTGAACTGGTAGTAGTTGGAATTCACAGAGATCATTGGGCCAAGTCGCAGTGACTAAATGGTCTACGAGCTTGTTGGCCTTGTAACCAGAAGGTTCAGGGTTCGAACCCTGACGGTGTCTGCGTACTGATGAACAGTGCCAAACAAAGGTGAAACAACTTTCCAATACTCACAGCTGGTGATTCAGTGGTTCTCCAACCGATTCCAGCCCACAATGAGATCCTGTAAGGATACAATACATGCAGATAAGGCATCGAGAAACGCACATTCCGGGAATATGGCAGTTGATACGTGTACTTGATTAAGAAAAATAAGTGCGTGTGTGTCTGCGCATATAACATTCCACAGTATATTACATGGTTCCAAACCAACACTTTAAAACCAATGAGATGCTCACTGGCGACTGGCCCTATTCAGGTAGGTAGTTACCTGGGTTCCAGTGGGAAGTCGTGACCAGTAGGGTGTAGCAGGTCGGGTGGGAGGACAAATACTCGCCGAAGACATTGGCTAGCGGTCGCGCTATGTCGTGAATTGGCAGAAGCTAGAATCCAAGGACCATTGGATCGGGTCCCAGTGGCTTAATGGCATACGAGCTCACCTTGTAACCGGAAGATCCTGGGTTCGAATCCCGGTGGGCGCGTACTGCTGAAGAGTCCCAAACTAGGACGAAACAGCTGTCCAGTACTCCCAGGTTTTCTAATGTTTCTCTAACTAATGTCAGATCATGATGAAATCCTCAAACCAATCAAATCCCTACAAACCAACACTTGAAAATTCCACAGTATACTTTGAGAAGAACAAAGAAAAAGTGGAACCATAGGTTTTAGATCTAACTGGAATTGAAATATTCCCCAAGCCTTACCGACTGTATGATAGCCACAAGAAGTTTGCTTTGATTTTCAAATAAAATTTCCCCCTTCTACTCCTTAGTATATACTAAGGAGTAGAAGGGGGAAAGTGTGGCATATGCCACACTTTAGAAGAGTTTTTGACATTGTCACTTCGTTGAATCAACAACAACAACAGCAACAAGCACTAATCCCTAAAATTAAGAGAAGTCGTCTCTCTTACGCTTAATTGATGCATCTCATCCCTTCAGTTACACCTGGCACAGATGGATGAAGTTAAAGTCAGTCAGGATAGGAAAAGTAAGGTTAGCGTTCATTACATAATTATTGGTGTGGAGATTCACAGCACTAAGGTCATGGAATAACACCCGTATTTTGATTAACATCCATGTGAAGTTAGTAGTGCTTTTAAACACTCCACAAAACTTGAAATTCGTGTCACCAAAGACTGTTCATACCATCTTGCTGTAAAATTCCATGACCACCTATCCTATTCTCTATCGATATTGTAGATCAAATGGTGATATGGAACTGTGATAGCAGGCCAGCCGACAAACTGCTGCCCAACAGATATCCGAAGGCAAATGGAGATGGGCACAACAGACGTTTAATGAGACATTCAAATGACATCACACATCAGCTAGGCAATTAAAGTGGAACCTGAAAAAGAAGTGACGATTTCGGCCAACGTCCAATGGTCACATGGAGAAGATCGTATGGAGAGGAGGCGAAAGAGTGTGAACAGTTGTGGATCTAGTTGAGGATGATCACGGAAAACTGAGTGTGGTCGAGATGTATTGTTGAAGCCCTACGTTCCACTCAGTACCCAATTAACTATTATTATTACTGTTTCCTTTAGTTCCTAGAGAAACATTGAGGATTTAGCCACACGTCTCCACTGCGTTCGGTTCTCTGTCAACGTTATCACCTGGCTCCACATCTGCCCTCATGGTTTCATCTCCTCTTCACACCACCTCCTCCATTTTATCACCCTCGTACTGATGACCAACTCGCCGCTTCCCATTCCTTCGGGTTCCACTCGAGCACTGGCCTGTCTTGTGATGTCACTTGATGGTTTTCTCATAGTATAGCCACAATCCAATCCACCTCCATCTCTTCCCGCATATTTGTTGCACAATCGGTTCTTGTTTGGTCCGCTCTCAGAGATCTCTCCCTGTTGCTGATTTTTTCTGGCCAGCCATCTGATCTTGAGTAGTAATGAGTGAAGACAGCTAGCTATTGATGAAGGTCTGCGGTTTGTTTGAGGGGCTCTTTATGACGTGCTGGCCAAGTCTCCGATCCATAAAGTAGCACTGATTTTGCATTGGAGTTCTAATTAACTAACAATAATAATAAAAATAATAATAACAACACAAGAAAGAGTAATATCAAGCTTGCTTACCAAGGTGCTAATTCTTTCTTCTCAGCAGTTTTACGAGCTAGCTCACTAGCCGCCTTATCATAACGTGCCAGTTTATGCATACGTTTCATAGCAATGTGTGTATGTCCTTTAATTGGGATATTCTGATATTTTGTTAAACATATTTCTGGTCGTATTCTATAAAACAACAATAAAAGAAAAAAACAAATGAAATAACCTCAAAACTGACTAAAATGACAGATATCAACAGTTAGGAACCAGAACTATTAACCAAGCTTGATTAAAGGACTTCCTGATTTCATTGGTTGGAAGATTTCATCATCATGAGCAGCTGACATCAGTTAGAGAACCAGTGGAAAACCAGCTAGGAGTACTGGACAGCCAGCTGTTTCGTAAATCTAGTTTGGGACTCTTCAGCAGTACGCACCTACCGCCATGGTTCGAACCCAGGCCACTGCGGTTACAAAGCGAGATAGCTCGTAGACCATTAAGCCGGCCATTGGGACCCATTCCAATGGACAGCTCATGAATTCTAACTTCTGCTAATCCACCACATAACGCGACCACTTGGCAATGTCTTCTTCGATGAGTTACTGCCTCACCTTCAACTTGCTGTGCCCTAACAGTCATGGCTTCCCACTAGAACCGCAGGTCACTGCCTACCTGAATAGGGCCAGTTGTTAGTGAGCATCTCGCTGATATTCAAGTAATGGTTTTGTAGGGATTTAGTTAGACCAGATGGAGGATTTCATCTCAAAAGAGACTTCCTAAGTAATCAACAGCAGTTAGGGAATCATTAAAAGAGCTGAACAGATGTTCCGTACCAGTGTGGGACTCTTCACACTGAATGCCCATGAAATCCCTAGGATTTTATCCTAGGAGATTTAGGTGACGAGTCTAGCTTTTTAAGACCACCAGTGCACACCAATGAGGAGTCCTAAATTAGGAAGAATTGGCTGCTCACTGCTTTCAGGTCTTCAATGATTCATATACCCAAAAGTATGAAAAAGTTTTTCATTCGATTTTGGCATGAATCAACATAATCACGCCAGGGTGTACTCACATAACTTCACCATTCTTTTCATATAATGTCACTATTCTTTTATCATTTTATTTTACTGATAATATTCTCAGCTGTGTAATTCCTACTGAACATGTTAAGTGTAGATTTAATGGAGGGAGATTCATTGGTCGATATCTCCTACCAAATGAATACATTGCCTTTTAGAACTGCCACTCTGCCGTATCCCATCATGTGTTTGTAAGTGTGATGTATGCATTGCAATTGTTGAGTTTTCCTTCGAGTTACTCATCTCTCTGCAGTTTATCAATCTATGCCCTGATAACCTGATGCATATACATATATATATATATATATATATATATATATATATATCAGTTGATGACGTCGTGAAGACGGATCAGTTGGACCCCTTCCTGAAACTGAACTAGACTGAAATTAAAGTAAAAACGTCGCAGGACTGAAACATGACATGAGTACATGAAGTCTCTGAATGGTGGTTTAAGCCATGTTAAATGATTTAGACTGTCTACTTGGGGTTATCGAAATGTGATTAGGCCTGAAAATTATTTGTAACATGACCTAAAATCGTTCTCAGTAACATGCAGTCATTCACTCATTGTGATGCTCTAGAATTATTTCTCCCTTTTCTTGACTTTATGTGGACTTTTAAAGAAATGCGATAAGTTCCACGAGTGTCGCCTCTGTGGAAATGCCTTCATTGGAAACTCTGTTAGTACAAAGTAGATATAAAAATGATCTCTTTCATTTCTACTGAATGTATTTCGTACTTCATGAATTATCATAACCCAGCTTTGGATTAAAATAAAATATATTAAATATTCCCATAGTAAAATTTAGAACAACACATATTTAAGCGAACAGTATTGCTGTTTTCAATTAGATCTCATCAGGCTTAACCCTAATATATACCTACATAACTTTACAAATAAAAATTCAAACATAAACCAATCATGGTGTTTTGTCTATAGGATAATACGATGGTGAATGTAAATTGTGCAATTAGTCTTGATAGTAGTAATAATAATAGTCTTATCAATAATAAGGATGAAAAGGCGAGGCAATCTGTGATAACACGAATAATGAAAAGAACGGCATGATTAAACAAACAAATGTTAAGGTAGACGTAGTAGTAGTCGATTAAGGCTAGTAAAGACAAATGAACCGATTAAGTAATGATAGATTGAAGATGTGGTAAGATTAAGGGATGATAAGAAAGGGGTTAAACATATAAACAAGGGGTGGTGTAGAAGTCATTAGTTGGTCATGTCATAATAGGCCAAGGGAGGGATAATGGCTGAACGAACTTCTTTTGAATGCATAGTTTAGGTCCAATAGTTCGAATGCCTATCGCCTCCCTCTGCTGTGTGCGTGCAGTAGACGAATACGAAATCTATTGGAAACATTCGGTGGGATACGATGAGTTACTTTGAAGGCTCTCGTTTTCTCAGCACTGCATGACTACTATCAATTAAATGTGACAGAAATGAGCTACAGATTGCTTTTGTCTGTCCTCTGCCAAACTACCAGATTGGGAGATGTTCATTAACAACACGTTGGCTAAGCTGTCTAGTAGTACACCCAACACAACTGTCACCGCAGGTGCAGTTGAATTGATAAATACACATAGATGTGCCAAAACTATCAAGCTTATCCTTCGTTTCCGTCCCAATCATTCGTCAGTTAGAGAATGACAAACACAGGTATGCTGCGTAAAACGTTCTCCTCATACTCCTGGAAAGTCTCTGGAACGAAAGCTCACTTGGTAAGTCACCATTAAATTGTAACTTAATAAACAGAGGCTTTTTGATTTGACGCTAGTAACTAGTGTGATGCGTCTAGTCCTCTCGTTGGTGCAGACTGAATTTTATCAGTCAGGTTGTAATGTGGCCACCATTCTAGGTAGCTCAATGGTAACGTCTCTGACTGCAGGTAGCACCGGGTGACGCGGGTTCGAATCTAAGAAGGGACATGAGTTCCTTCAATGTTGCAGATACGCCTTGCTGACGAGTGTCAACTAGCATGAAACGTAGGTAGTGTCCAAGGCTTCTTGTGGTCGATTGCCTCCAACCATCTAAATAGAGGCTTTTTACGTGTAGTCAGAGTCTCAGGCTTTCTCTTTGATGTCTTCACATGTTTCTTTATTAAATAAAAGAAAAAAAGAAACAGACGACGGGAAAGGAGTCCCCATAATTCAAGGGAAAGCATTTTCCAGCTTCACAAGAAACAGTTCTTCCTTCCACAACAATACGAGAAGGGATAATATAAAATGACATTTGACAGTTTTCTTTGGTGGACTGGTAAGCTAAATAAAAGTCAAAGTTGAACCACATACAATTTTGGTAAGTAATCATCCTGGATTCCACCGCTAGTCACCATCCACCTACTAACTTCTAATCATTCTAATATTGAGACATCAGTTCATGGATTCATTAAGCCAAAATGAGGTTTATCAGCGTGGTCACGGATCACTAACAGTGAATCACAAATAATAATAATAATAATTATTATTATTATTACTTCCTTTAATTCCTAGAGGAACATAGGACTTCAGCTGCACGTCTCCATTGCGTCCTGTTCTCTGCTATAGTTTACATCTGGCTCTAAGTATGCCCACATGCCTTCCTCTCATCTCTTCACATGACCTCCCTCAAGTCACCCTTGGAAGACCAACTCGCCGCTTCCGTTTCAGGTTCCACTCGAGCAATGAGCTGTCCTGTGATATCAATTGATGGTTTCCCCAGAGTATGGCCAATCCACCTACCTCCATTTCTTCCTGCTTATTTTTTGCACAATCAGTTTCTGGTTGGTTCGTTCGTTTCCAGAGATCCCTCCCTGTTTCTGATCTTTTCCGGCCGGCTACTGATCTTGAGTAGTATTGAGCGAAGACAGCCATTGATGAAGGTCTGAAGTTTAGATATAATAGAGAAGATTTGTAGCTCAGGTGGATGATTTTGATGTGGTTGTGTTCTCTGAGCTGGATGGTTAGTTTGCGAAGCTTTCATCACCCTACTGGGTGACATCTTCAGCGCATACTTCAATTTGAAGTGAGTTTTTAGATTTCTCCACGAGTTTATTAATCATCTCTCCTAGTGACCTTGGACGTGATTGGTTATTTGTGTGTGTTTTCACACCTTCTAGGTTACTTGTATTGGAGCTGATTGTTTCTTTGACTTGAACTTTGACCCTTTGTGTGTGAAGTTTCTTTCTTATTGGTTGATCAATTTTGTCTATCTCGACGAGTCTATTGATTGATGATTCACTGGAATGCCAAGCTTCTAAAAATTCTCTAGCATTCTTGTTATTTCCTTTGTCTAATATTTGAACGTTGTCCCAGTCGAATTGATGTCCGTAGTTGTCTGTGTGTAGTGAAATGAGGGAGTGGATATCATGTCTTTTGACGGCTAGCTTATGTTCGTGGATACGAAGACGAAGGGGACGTCCACTTTGGCCAATGTAGTGTTTTCCGCAGTTGTTACAGTTTACTTTGTAGATGATGTTGGTTTTATCTTCTTTCGCTGTTGAATCTTTTGGTTGACATAGAATTGAGTGCAGCGACTTTGTTGTTTTGTGTACGACATCAATTCCTAAAGGTTTGAAGGGTCTTGTAGTGATTTCTGAGATATCCTTTATATATGGTAAGGCCATTTTCTTCGTGCTCTCCTGGGTGGCTTTTGCCAACCTACGAAGTATGCGCTGAAGATGTCACCAAGTAGGGTGATGAAAGCTTCGCAAACTAACCATCCAGCTCAGAGAACACAACCACATCAAGGTCTGAAGTTTGTTTGAGGTGCTCTTTATGACGCGACTCCAAGTCTCTGATCCGTATAGTAGCACTGACTGGCTTCACATTGGAGTTGAAAATCCGCAACTTATTTTTCATGCTGAGTGCTGCTGACCTCCACAAAGACTTAAGAGTAATGAAATCTTGTCTTGCTTTTCCGATCCTTTCTTTCAAATCCTGTAGTTAAAACGATGCTTCCCAGGTAGGGTAGGTGAAAGAGGTTGTTTCTTTCAGGTTCCTCCCATTTATGCGGATTGTTGTCTGTTGTTGTTACTGTTGCTGTTGGCCAGGAATCTTCATCAACTTTGTTTTCTCTATGTTTACCGGAAGTCTCATCTTCTCTGGATGCTTCTTCTATCGCCAACTTGCTGATTTTCACTTGCATATCTCCCTCTAGTTTGTGGAAAATCAGACATATACATATCATCGGCGAAGTCCAGATCCACCAAGGATTTAGTGTGGGTTCATTTTATGCCTGTTTCCTCGCTGCCAGCTGTCTGTTGCATTATCCAGTCTACCGCAATCAGAAAACCATTGGAGATATTAAGCAGCCAGCAACCCTTGTCTTACCTTCGCCTATACTTCCAAGGATTCCGTAAGTTTCCCGTTGTGGATTACTTGACATTCAGCAGTGTTGCACAACTGTTGGATGAGATGTATAATTGTCGATGGCATCCCTTGGTAGTAGCGAAGTAGTTGCCAAATCAACTCTTGATCGACGCTGTTTAAGGCCTTTTCAAAGTCAATGAAGTTTAGTAAGGTAAAGAGGTGACTGCCATTCCAAGCTTTGTTCAATGATGATCCGTAGTGTTGCGATTTGATCAATACATGATTTGTTTCTCTCACAAATATGAATCAAAAAATTTCAAATCATACCCTCTGAACAAGTGGTGATTTTCATGACTCAGAAGACTGTAGGAGAGATAAAAATAGGTAGGTCCCAAAAATTAGACAACAGCCTACAGACAGTGATCTTCTGGACTCCATGATCATGTAACACTAATGTTGTTTCTTCACTTCACTCAGTAACTTAGAGGATAGCGTTTCGATTTTTGAAGTGATTGATGAGAGGTTTGAGGTATTAATGAGAACACCACCAATAACAAGAGATGCAGGCAGTTACATCAAACTGATGAACCCCAAATAGGACAAAATTTGCACACCTCTTAGATTCTACTACTAATCGCCAAGAAACAACTAAAAACAGAAACTAACAGCAAAACTTTTTACTTACCTTTTCATAAATTCTAAACGATCTTCTAATTCAATACTCTTTTCATCCGTTATGATTGACAGCTGGCTTCGTACATTATCGATTAGGTTGGTTAATTTATGACTTGTAAATTCTTTGGGTATTTCTTTTAAATTACCAGTAGTAAAGGGTCTAGAAGAAATAGATTCTGACAGTTAGTATGAATGATTTCAACATATTATATACTAAAATAATAACGAGATGGTATGTATACTACTGACTGACTTATATAAGTAGTTGGGTACTAATCACATCAGTCAGTAATATGCATCATCATCAAACATGGTTATGAATGAGAGTCAAACCTTTACCTCAACTCCATCGACTATGAAAGAATTTTCGACAGAGTTGACGGCGAAGTAATTCGGAATCTACTTCAACAAACAATGACGTGCTTCAAATGTTTATCAACCTCATTCAGTAGCCCCATATGACAATGATACATGTTAAGTTGCAACGACAGAAAACAAGGAACAGGCAACAGATGCCTTATTGAGAAAATCGATAGATATTTATAGATTTCTATGTATATTATTGGCAGTGGAGAGGCAACGTCTTCTGATTGGTTGTTTTCTTGCTGAAGGTTATTTTGTACTGCTTGTGACCATTTCTCAGAAAGTTAGGCCACATATCTGCGAATGGTATTTGCACACGTTACGTGTGCTGTGATTGATTGATGAGTTCCTCAAGTTTAGGCTTTGTTATTGTTTTTTTCTCATGACCCCGATTCGGGACCTGTAACATTGACGTAAATTGTAGTCTACAATTTTTGACTTGCAGCCAACTCTCACCACAAAGTAATCTACAACGGGTCGTAAAGTTGAGACGTCATGAAGAGAATTTCCAACAGGTTACTCCACAGTTTTATCAACATCTTCCCATTTTGCCCCATTCTAAAGACCAGCGAACCAACCAGGAATCGAGTGTGCAAAAAAATACGCAGGAAGAAATGGAGGTGGATTGGTTGACCATACTCTGAGAAAACCATCAAGTGAGGGACATCACACGCCAGGCTACTGCTCGAGTAGAACCCGAATAGGAGGCGGCTAGTCAGTTGGTCGTCAGTACGAGAGTAACAACATAGAGGAGGTGGTGTGAAGAGGAGACGAAAGCATGTGTGCAGACGTGGAGCGAGGTGAAAACGTTGGCAGAGAATCGAACTCAATGGAGAGGCGCGGCTGAAGCCCAATGTTCTTCTAGGAACTAAAGGAAACAATAAAACAACAATAACGGTCAGATGGCCAAACAAACCAGCCAAGAAACTGCTTTCCAACAAATATGCTGAAGAAAGTGCAGATGGATAGGAGACACGTTTTAGGAAACTGCTGAGCGATAGGTCCCCAAGTGGAACCAGAATGGGAAAAGATCAGTTGGGCATCACTTTGAGGGTGACATGGGGGATATCGTGTGAGGAGGAGATGACAGTTTATAGGGAGCAGTGGGGCCAACGGAAGAGGACTGCGGAGGACAAGACAACATAAAGACGTGCTGCTGAAGCCCTATGTTCCACTCCGAATCCAAGGGACGTACTCACCAGCATTAAACTCGTTAACTGACTTAGCTTAAAGAGTTGAACCTGTTGAAACCACTTCAATTCTTGTTGATTACCTGGGAAAAGTAACAATACATCGAATTAAGTTCATCATTTGTAAGTTATACAGTTCAACAGGTGAATTCACTGGCGTTCCCCCTAATTGACACCATACAAAGCAATCAATAAAGCAAGTGAACTAGCACGATGACGATACATACTACTGATTGATATGAGTAGTCGAAAGTTATTCATGCAAAATACTAGTAGTCAAACAACAAGCAAGTTTTGCAACAGCCAACTTTCTTGAACAGCTATGACCCCGACGAGTAACCGCTCTCAACTACACAGCATAATACTCACTGTTATGCTGAAGGAGTGGCAGTCATGATTCGAATGTATATGCATCGGTGTCTTGGTGGATAGCGCTTAGGCGTTTGAAACGATGGGTGACAGCTTGGTTCGAGTCCTTGTGGAAACATTGCCACTTACAGCAGGATGCAGCTATATATTCAGATGGCGAGTCCCAAACCGGACGAAATGCATCTCCTAAATTCCAATGCCAACGGCCAGCAACCAATAAACTGTATGGTCGTATGTTTATATTTCTGAGTGAAGGAAATGAATTGCCTTCGAATTTGCGTATAATACTTCAAATTATAATAAAATTAAATTAAAGGGAATTAATGGAAAGAAAAGTTTTCAAAGGCCTCTGATCGTCTTCATTGACCTATGATAAATAATCATCTTCATAAGACACGATGAAGGATTTGTCTCACATTAGGACAACAGTTTCCACAAGCAAAAGAGTGTGTGTGTGTTTTGGTTAGACACTAGTAACTAGTGTGACGTGTCGAGTCCCTTCTTTGGTGCCTCAAAAAGCCTCAGGATGGTCCGGGGTGGGTGTCTTGCGCTGCGGGTTGGCCACCCCTCCGTACACCTCTCGAAATGCTCCCATATGACCGGGCGTCTTACATAGCCTCTCCTGAGGAAGTCCTACTCACTGCCTTCACGTGGCGGAGGTGTTTTTCACCAAAGTGAGAGGGCGAAAGCGGATGTCCGGCTCTCTTCACCGGGTTGACTGTCCATTGGATGACAGTCTAGGGGAGATGGCTAAACCCTGATTCCAAACCTCCAACGACTGGCGTATGAAGCTCACCGGAGCTCACCGGCAGACGTATGGACAAAGGGCTTATTGGATGCCCTGGATGACTGGCCCCATTTAAAAAGGCGAATGAACCGGACTCCGGTCACCGGCTGCTTCCAATGGATAGTGGACTCCCTACTCCACTCTTACTGCCTTTTAGGTCACACTTGGTTGTGTAAAGGCTAGAGCTGCACTCTCAAACAAAGGCCGAGCGATGCTGGGGACATCACTCGTACCAAATTCCCATGAAACTTCATGGTTCATGAAGCCGGCTCATCCTCCCGTAGGAGATAGCCGAAGTAAAGTAAAGTAAGTAAGCAGACTGAATTCTATCATTTATGTTTCAAATGTGGCCACCATTCTAGGCAGCTCTCCATCACGGTGTACAGTGATTTGATGATATTAAATGGTTGGAGGCAATCAGCAGGAAGTCCTACCTGACCTAAGTTTCGTGCTAGGGGGCACTCACTAGTCAGCAAGGCATATCTGCAACACTAGAGGAACTCATTTCCCTTCTGAGATTCGAACCCGCGTCAGCTCCAACGGGTTGATCGCTGACGAAATCTGAACACGAGTACAGAAAGCTAGTTTAGAATACGCCAACTTAAGCCATCTCTGGCTTAGTAAACGTGGTATCCGGCTGTCGACCAAGGGACGTGTGTACTGCACAGCAACAGTTCCCTCCGTTGTGAGATATGGACAATGAAAGTGGAAGACATCAAAAGACCGGCTAGCTGTCTTCGATCATAGGTGTCTGCACTTTAACTCCTGTGTGTTAGGTGGTATGATAAGGTGAGCGATATTGAGGTTAGGCACCGGTCGAGGGCTAGGTAGGTGGGAGGCGAAATCAATCGACAAGCTTGTGAAGTTACAACGATTGAGATAGTTAGGGCATGCATTACGCATGCTTAGCCATTACTCTCCTCGATGACTGGAGATAATTGCTGACACAGAGTGGATCAGGTTGGCAAAGAGCTAGTGGGGGGTTGAATCGAAACATTGCATCAGTCAATGAGATCCATAACACTTAGTTTAAGCCGCGTAGAGAGATGTAGACTGCTGTAGGGCTGGAGTCCTCAGGATAGTAAAAACCAATGAAGGCTGCAAACAACTGGTAACATGGCTCAGAGTCGTAGTCAGTGGCTGGCGCAGATACATGTGATATAAAATTTCCAATAAAATTCTATTGTTCTTCCATATTACTATTCTTTTTGGCTCACGTTTCTGTTTATGATCTCTTTTGAATCTCTTTTTACTCTCTTCTCTTACTTTGTGTAGTACATGGAGGGAGTGTGGCAACTTGAACTGCTGCACATCTGTTCAAAGTTCCATGTTGAGAACAGTCAGTCAGTCAGTTATCATTAGAGGTATTGACACCTATTATTTAAATGTCTAAATTGGGTATACTTTTTTTTTAAAGTCATGCATAAATAAGCGATTTTACTGTTTGATAATCAATTCGTTGAAGAACATCTATACGCTTTAATATTATATTCTCCAAACGGAAACGAAATTACTGAAAACCATGGTGTATTTGTCAGTTGTTTCGCTGCAACTTCGGTTTCTTCATCCTGGCGGACTGACTGGGGTTCGAGAACAGTACCTTTTGGCTACTAAGTGAGGCTCTAGACCACGCAGCCATAAAGATCTAATACAATGGCCCATTAACTCCAACTTATGTCAGTTCGCGAACATCACCAGATTACTAGCTTGCTAGGCTATTGGCTTTCTAGTTTTCTAGCCGGTCCCAAGCCCGGATAAAGAGGGAGGGTTGGGGCGTGGTGCTAGCAACTCCACCCCTGTAAAACAACCAAATCGCTACAGAAACTTCAACGAATAAATATATTAAAAATTCTAAAAACATAAGCAATAGCCTTACTTTTCGCTGGAATCGGGGAAGTGAAATGACGCAGGCTGGTGAAAGCCTTCGGGAAGCCAGTCAGCCGATGTGCCTTCTTTCGATGAAAGCAAAAGTAAGGATGGGTACCTGGAATGTTCGTACAATGTACGAAACTGGAAAGGCTGCCCAGATAGCCGCTGAAATGAGAAGGTACAGAATAGAAGTGTTGGGAATCTGCGAAAGCAGATGGAACGGAACTGGAAGGTGCCAACTACCTACTGGAGAGACAGTAATCTATTCCGGCCACCCAGAGGACAACCATGAGCACACCGAGGGAGTGGCCATCATGATGTCACCAACAGCAACCAAAGCTCTCATGCAGTGGGAACCAATCTCCTCCAGGATAATGACAGCCAGGTTCAACTCAAAAGGAAGGAAAGTTACAGTCATTCAATGCTATGCGCCTACAAACGTCTCAGAACAAGAGAAGAAGGAGGCGTTCTACAGACAACTACAAGCAATAATGGACAACGTCCCAAATGGCGATATCAAAATCCTGATGGGCGACATGAATGCGAAGCTGGGAGGAGACAACACAGGAAGAGAACTCACCATGGGTCGTGAGGCCCTCGGTGAAATGAACGACAATGGTGAACTCTTCTCAGACTTCTGCGCCTTCAATGATTTGGTGATTGGTGGTAGTGTGTTCAAACACAAGGATATACACAAGACGACATGGATTTCACCAGATGGAAACACCAAGAATCAAATAGACTTCATCTCAATTTCAAGAAAGTGGAGACGGAGCCTACTGGACACAAGGTCAAGGAGAGGAGCAGATGTGGGTTCAGACCACTATCTAGTAGAAGGGACTTTCAAGGTGAAACTAAAAGCCTCGAGGATAGCTGGGGATAGGCCACAATGCAAGTTCAACACTCAATTACTGAAGGACACAACCACAAAAGACACTTTCACTGCAACTGTCAGAGCAAAGCAGGAAACACTACGCGACATCACTGAAGAATCATGCGTGGAAGAACATTGGAAGTCTCTGAAGGCGATTCTCAACGAAACGTGTTCAACGGTTCTAGGAAGAAAGAAGAGACAAGACAAGGAATGGCTCTCAACGGACACTTGGAAATTAATAGAAGAGAGGAGAATGGTGAAAGAGAAAATGATTCAATGCAAGGACGGACAGGAGAAGGAGACGCTGAGCTCAACTTACACAGCACTGGACAAAGAAGTGAAGAAGAGTGCTAGGAAGGACAAAAGACGATTCTACGACAATCTGCCACTGAAGCTGAGAAGGCAGCAGGCAAAAGGGACCTGAGGACACTATATCAGATAACCAAATCTCTATCCGGGAAGAGATCAACACAAGCGAAACCTATAAAAGACAGCCAAGGGAACCCAATTACCAAGGAAGAAAAACAGATTAAACAATGGGCGGATCACTTCAAAGGACTCTTGAACCGACCATCACCTGCAACCCGTCCAGAAATACCAACAACAGCGCGCACACAACTGCAAGTTGACACCAATCCTCCAACGAGAGCTGAAGTCTTGAACGCAATCAAACTTCTGAAAGCTGGAAAAGCAGCCGGACCAGATGGAATACCCCCTGAAGCACTGAAAGCAGACCCAGAGACTACAGCAGACATGCTGACTCCATTATTGCAAAAGGTCTGGAAGGAGGGAAAGGTTACCTCGTGAAACTACCAAAGAAGGGCGACTTACGCCTCACTCTGCAAGAACTGGCGAGGAATCATGCTCCTGTCGACGCCAAGTAAAATCCTGAGTCGCATCATCCTGGAGAGATTAAAGGACGCACTGGAGACAGAACTCCGACCAGAACAAGCTGGATTCAGGAAAGGCAAATCATGTACTGACCAAATTGCAACTCTACGCATCATCATCACGGAACAAAGCATGGAATGGCAATCAAACCTCTACCTCAACTTTATAGACTTTGAGAAGGCCTTCGACAGCGTTGATCGTGAAGTAATTTGGAAATTACTCGAGTACTACGGCGTACCCCAAATATTCATCAACCTTATTCAACAGCTGTACGACAACGACACGTCAAGTGATCCACAACGGAAAACTCAGCGAGGCGTTTGGAGTAAACACAGGAGTCAGACAAGGGTGCTGACTTATTATCACCAATGATATTCCTAATTGTGGTGGACTGGATTATGCGTCAGACAGTGGGAAACGAGAAGACAGGGATATCCTGGACCGACGACGTGAAGAACCTAGAAGACCTGGATTTCGCGCGTGGATGATTTATGTTTGATGTCACACAAAATCGAAGACTTACAAGCGAAAACCGACAAACTGGTCGAAGAAGCAGCCGGTGAAGACAGGACTCCAGGTGAACATAGACAAGACGGAGGTTATGAAAATAACCAACCAACAACAACAGCAGCAGCAACATTCACCGCCAATCACCATCAACGGGAGGGATTTGAAAGAGGTTACTTCATTCACTTATCTAGGAGGGAGCATTGTCTCAACTACAGGCAGGAGGAACGGACGAGGATGTCAAATCGAGCGAGAATCGGGAAGGCGAGAAACACATTCATCAACCTGAAACAACAATCTGGAAATCTTCGTCACTCAGCATCAACAACAAAATTCGGATTTTCAATACAAACGTCAAGTCAGTCAGTTCTTCTATACGGATCAGAAAATTGGTGGTCGGGTCACAAAGAATATTTCCAACAGCCTGTTGCAGACCTTTATCAAAACAACTGTCTTCGCTCTATACTGAAGATCAGATGGCCGGCCGGAAAGAATCACCAACAAGAAACTATGGGAACAAACAAAACAAGAACCAATCGCCAACCAACAAATATGCAGGAGAAAGTGGAGATGGATTGGACACTACCGCTGAGGAGGCCGCTGGGTGACATCGCACGTCAAGCCCTCGAGGGGAACCCGAAAGGGAGGCGGCGAGTGGGACGTCAGTGCAAGGGTGAGATGGAGGAGATCGTGTGAAGAGGAGTTGAAACAGTATGGACTAACTAACATGGATTCAGGTGAAAAGTACAGCAGAAGTGGCAAGTAGAGACGTGCAGTTGAAGCCGTATGTTCCACTAGGAACCCAAGGGAGCAATAATAATAATATGTCAGTTTGCGACATATAGCCAAACGCTTATGGCTGCGTGTCAATGAAGAATCCCAAGTTAGGAAAGAACAACTACCCAACACTAGCTGGGAGTTTACCAGTGGTCGTCTGACCGACGCTATACTTCGTGATCGAAACTGTAACCTATTGAATCTCTGTAAATCAATACATGAAACAAAACCAACAATAACAACACATGAAAAATTACCTTTTCTTAATTGTTTTTGAAGCAACCACTCCTCTACCGGTTAGGCGTGATTCCGCCTCTTTCATGGTTTCTTTATCCATATCGACTTCTATTTGATGCTACAAAAGAGTAGAAACATTTCTTCTAAAGACATTCAGTAGGAATAAAGAAAGACACGGTTTCAGCATAGTAGACATTTCTACTTTGACATTTTGAAGAAGACAAAGAAAGAAAGACTGAGCAATGAATGTTCTTTTCGATAGCTTCTCTATCATCCAGCTGCTATAGTTGTCTGTGTGCATAATAATTAACGAGTGATTGCTATTGACAACAACTCTAAAGAAGCCCTTGTTCTTCATACAGTTGGTGATAACACCAGTGAAATAATAACACAACGCTTAAATAAATGTCTGTCTGTCTGTTTTCGACATAGAACTTTGCACAAATGTGTGGCAGTTCAAGTCGCCACACTCCGTGTAGCACGCGAAGAAAGAGAAGAAAGTACAAGAAAAGCATAATAGAAACAGTGAGCAGAGGTGTGAGACAAAAGAGGAGTAATAACGAAGAACAAAACAGTTTCATTGGAGATCATAAGTCACAAGGAGTGGATGCATCTGCGCCAGCGCCACTGAGAACGATTTTGAGCCATGTCACCAATTGTTTCCAACCATAGATTTTTATCGTCCCGAGGACCCCAGCCTGGAAGTCTACACCTTCCTACGTGGCTTAGACCAACTGTTGTGGATTTCATTGACTGGTGAAGCCAAGTTTTTGTTTGACCGCCGCTAGCTTTTTTCCAGCCTGACCCTATATCCGCTAACACTGCTCGTCGAGGGAGGCGATGGCTTGCCATACGTAACACATGTCCTTAAATAAATGCAATAAAAAGAGCATTCTCAATGCAGAAGAAGTATACTACCTCCTGACAACCACTCCTATTTCACGTTCGAGGACTAAGGATAAACCACTTAGTTTCATCTCCTCTATATATATCAGTGTGACTGATCCTGTGCATCGAGTTACATAGAGCTTACATTTAGGCATGTTAACCATTACTGGATTTCTGAGAATCTTACTGTGTAGTTTTTGTTAACCTTATAGAGGAGACTCAACATAAAGTTCATATTAACAAGACGTTTAAAGTTTTCTATCGTATTTTGAGGAATTCTTTCTATACATGTCGCTGAAACCATCTCAGAATACACCTGAAGAAGTCAAACTTATGCATTCAGAAGAAACTTGTTCAGACGCTTGGCTGTACCTTGGCCATCATTAGTTTTGAAAACATTTATTTCCCGATACGAATTTAAAACAAGCATTAAAGGTTAATAAAGCAGGATTTAATGATGGATTCATCAAATTTCGGTAGAACTCGTCGGCTGCAGAATACTTTACATACACGGATATATATATATACTTTTGAAATTACATTGGGAAGTATAAGACTGATAAGTAAACAAACTACATTGAATTAATCATGCAGAAAGACAGTTGCGGATGTTTTCCAGGTCATGTTCAAATAGATTAGGGGAGAGAGAGTATGAGAGATAAAAATTAAGATAAATTGCATTACGCTTCAATTACATCACTTAGATAAACAATTAGTCATTAGGGAATATAACGAGAAGTGCAAACAGACTAATATCAATAGTAATAGTTTTAATAACAATAATAATAATAATAATAATAATAGTGTTGAAGTGAGTTAAGATAATCTTACGGATAAAGCATAGATTTAAATGAATCAAGAATAATAATAATAATAATAATGGTAGTAATAATAACAAAAATAAGAAGAAGAAGAGGTAGAATAATAGTAATAACAAGTAGAGAATAATAAGTAAAGCGTATTACCATGGTAGATTCAGAGTGACGACCATCTCCTTTTGTATACAGAGGGCTGGTTTGTAAATTCGAATTGCACAAGCCTCTGCAATTGCAAGCATCTTCTTGTTTCTTTGTTTGCTGACGATGGTGAATGACTTGACGGCGTCGATATCATGTCCGTAATCCACGAGATGTTTTGTTATTGAGGATTTTGGGACTTTGCACTCAGCTGTTTTCAACCATTTTGGCAAATACTCCATCATGCGAGTAGACAATCGCCTTTCCGTACGACCTATGTATTTGCTGTCACAAACACACTCAAATTGATATATACAGTTTGAAGTGTCGAGGATTGGTGACTGGTCTTTTCCAGATTGTTGAAGCACTCGCTTGGTGGTGTTAAGGATAACAAGTTTTGCAGCATAATAAGTTCTCTTGATGGCTTTGTCGAGTCTTCGTTTCACTACTTCCTGTACGTCATCTCCTTTGAATGGCAAATTGATATAGACAGGTTTCTTTGGAACTGTTTGAATTGTTTTGCAAGGGGTAGTTTCTTTAGAGTATTTATTAATGAACTTCTGAGAATATCCATTCTTAGATAAAATATCCTTGAGAGATTTTATTTCATGTTCAATAGTACTGTCAGAACAAATTTTTCGTGCTCTATTGAACAGTGTTCTGACTAAGTTCTTTTTGTACTGGATTGGAACAAAGCTCTTGAAATGCATGCACTGTCCTGTCCATGAAGACTTTCTAAATATAGACCTTTGGATTGTGCCATCATTCATTTTGCCTAGAAAAACGTCCTCATTAGTTTAACTATCTTTAATTGTTGCATACACTTTCTCCTTAATTTCTTTCTGATATTCAACTTAGTATTACATTTTCTATGCATGTTATCACTTATCAGGTTAATATATGTGTAAAAACTTGGGCACTGTGGTAGTAAGTAATTCCATATTAATTTGTTTATTAGATGTATCACACAGTCTGTGAAACAGTATTATTATTTACTGGATGACAAGGTTTCGAACAAAATTTATTGTTCATAATCACATCATCAATTATAATCACACGACTTGGAAACTTGAGTTTTATAGTTTTCTTTGTTGTCTGCTATTTGTCGTAGGGGTAGCTGAATTTTCCAGATATCTGGCTAGGACAGGTGTTGAATCATTCCTATTACATGTATTCGCCTCAGCTGATTCGATAAACAAAGCCTCTGTTATCAATCTCGCCATCCACTCTGAGACATCAGATTTTAAAACTGTCACCTTATCCCATTCTATCTTATTGTATGGTTGTGTGTAATTGCATATAGTGAGTGCTATAGCTGAACTTTTCTTCAGATTTCTTATCTTATTTGGATCAACCAATCTAGATTTTGCTGCTAGGTTTTTATACTGCGCTATTCTGACTGACTGCCCCTGTTCTACTACTTTGACCTATGTATTTGATTGACCTGACAATCATTGCAAGTGGGGGGTATTAGATAAACTAAATTGCTTTGTTTTAAAGGCTCCACAGGATCCACCATTTAACCGACAAAGTTGGTTTCTAATTGAGTTTGTGGTTGGTTTGAATGCCAGGCAATTTTATTCCTGCCTGCCTTATTAAGAATTCTGCGTAAGCTGGTTTCCGAGGTTCCTTCCATTTATGGAAGTACTAGTGATGATTTAGATTCCTCATTGTTGGTGTCGTCATTAATGTTATTATTTTTATTATTATCACTACTATTATTATCATTATTATTATCACTATTACTACTATCATTATTTATTTTATTTTTACATTTCCTTACATATTCGTTCGAAACGGTGTCATCCAGTGAATAATACGGTCCCACTGTGTGATACGTCTAATAAACAAACCAATATGGAATTACTTACTACCACAGTGCCCGAGTTTTACACATATAGTAATACAACTCAATATTATTTTAAAAACGCTTAATGTCATCGACAACGATTATTCAGATGAGGAAGTGATCGAAGAGACTATTCTATGTTGATATTAAGTGGTTGGAGATAGTCAGAAGGCAAGAAGCCCCACCTGGTCTAGGTTAGGTACTAGTTGGCGCTCACAAGTCAGTAAGGCATATCTAAAACCTTGAAGGAACTCATGTCTCCTGTTTGAGATTCAAACCCATGTCATCCAGTGCTGCAGTTAGAGACCGCTACCACGGAGATATTCAGGCTCGCGACTAATGACCTCCGGTAGAAGTGTCTCAGATATTTTGATTGGACACCAGTAACTAGTGGAATGTGTCTAGTCTTTTGTTCGATGCAGACTAAATTCTATCAGTCAGTCAAGTTTGCAATATGGTCGCCATGCCACTAGGTGGCTCGCCATGACGGTTGACTGTGAACTCTTGGTATTAGGTGTTTGGAGACAGTCAGCCACACGAAGCCTTGAACCTGATAGAATTCAGTCTAAACCAAAAGATAAGACTAGACACATTAGACTAGTTGCTGACAAGTGTCCAATCAAGATTATTCCTTGTTCACCTTTCTTTTTTGTCATGTAAAAAGACAATTTCAAAGTAGATAAACTTTTGTTCCGATGAAGTTATCAATCAAACTATACATTTTTGTGAATACAAAACAAATAGACGAGAAATTTTCAAAACTATTTCCACTGAATCCAAAATATAACGAATAAAATACTCTCCGGAACACTATTCAGTGTGGTTAGCAAAGATTACGAATAGAAATATGCCTCTACGACGATAACAGAACACCTTATGTACTCAGAATATTCACCTGCATTTTAGAAATGCTTCAAGGTCCTGTACAAGATCACTATAAAATCTCTCAAAGGGAGTAAGATCAAATGACCTCTTAACATAGATGAAGTATTAGCGATCGAAAAATTCAAGCCAATGCTATGTCTCCAAAAGAGGTACATCCAATCATTGTCTTTATCGTCGTCATCATAAACAGTCCATTTTCCGACTATGTTATTGATCCAAACTTCGTGTTTATTTTTTCTTCTTATTATTATTATTATGATTCTGATCCCAATTGGTATTACAAAATTTCATCTTGTTATTTTAATGTTTGATCTGAACTTTTTCACCTCTTTGCTGTTAATGTTCACGAATAAACAGCCTAGTTGACGATTTCATCGAAAAGAATATATATATATATATATATATATATATATATATATATATATATGGATCATGCGTCAGACTGTGGGGACTGAGAATACAAGAATACGTTGGACCAACAAGAAGACTCTAGAAGATCTGGATTTCGCATGTGGATCAGTTATGTTTGATGTCACACACAACCTCGAAGACTTACAGGCAGGTGAAAAGCAGCAAACTGGTTGAAGAAGCAAGCAAGCAGAGAAGATAAGACTACAGGTGAATATAGGGAGGACTGAGGCGATGAAGATAGCCAACCAACGAACTGCAACAACAACAACAACAACCAGCCCCAATCACCATCAACGGGAGAGATTTGACACAGGTTACTTCCTTGACTTATCTAAGAAGTGTCATTTCAGTCACAGACAGGCGAAACGGATGACGATGTCAAACCCAGCCAGCCAGCCAGCCAGCCAACAAGAATCGGAAAGACAAGATACACCTTCATCAACCTGAAACCAGTTTGGAAATCTTCCACACTCAGTCAGACAACATAAAGAACAAGTTTCAGATTTTCAACACAAATGTGAAGCCAGTCTGTCAGTTCTTCTCTATAGCAGTCAGAAACTTGTACTGCGTGTCACAAAAACTTCTATCAACTGCTGCTCCCCTCTTTGGTTCCATATTGAAGATTAAATGACCAGTCGGGTCAGCCAGAGAGAATTAACAACACGAAAATCTCGCTGACAACAAACCAACAGGCGAGAGCAGACTGCTCTGCAAATATGTAGGAGAAAATTGAGGTGGACTGATCGGACATACACTGAGGAGGCCAGCAAATGATCTCGCATGCCAGCCAGGCCACTGCTCGCCTGGAATCCTCATGGGAAGCGACGAGTGGCGTGTCGGTGCTATAGTGCCATGGAGGAGATCGTGCGAGCTTGACGAGGGGGAGACGAGAGATTACAGGGAATTTAATGAGCCCAGATGAAGAGGACAGCAGAAAATGGAACAAATTGGAGATGGATGTTTCACCCTGAAGTCAAGGGATTTTTATATATATGTAGAAGTAACGACGGGCAAGTAATGTCCAGATGTCATGTGAATAAATGATACGTTACTCTCTTTTTATTACCAAAACTAGCCGCCCAACTACGTGATCTTCACTTTCTCATAGAGAGTAGCAAAAGTGGAAAGCAGATTATTGATTGACTTTGAGACCGACCATCTGAGATAGTTTAGTGATGGCAGACTATTCTCAGTGAAACGATCAGCTGGTTGACAGTTGAGTATAGCAATTCATCTGGTAGGCTGCCCCAGAATTTATTCAGAGACCTCTTATGTGAATCCCGTCATGGTCCATCTTCCTACATCGCCCGATGCATTAACAACAGTCTGTCAGATTAAGACAACCTTAGATTATCTCACCACATATATATATATACATATGTATATATGTTTAGGAAAAAGACAACTTACAGCAATTTCTTTCAGAGTTTCACGTGACATTTTCTGAATTTGATTTCTAAAACTAACCCATTGGCTAGACGAGTCAGTCAAAATATTCAAAAAATAATAATAAAAATCAAATCATTATATTCACCTAGAAAGTAGCAGCAAAAGATAAAGACTATAATCAGTTAATTAGCTCTGATTTTCTCATCTAACTGAAATCTACCAATCAGAGAATGTTTTGGTCACCTATAGGTGCGTGGGAGTTAGTATGGACAAATTAAACGCTATCTGATTAATAGACATTAGATTTTTTTATGAGTTGATCACGGATTGATATCAGTTAGAGAACCATTGAAAACCAGCATAGGAGTACTGGACAGCTGCTGTTTCGTCCTAGTTTGGGAATCATCGGCAGTACGCACCCACTGGGATTCGAACCCGGGACCTTCCGGTTACAAGGCAAGCTCGTATACCATTCAGCCACTGGGACCCAATTCAATGGCTCGTGAACTCCAACTTCTACTAATTCGTGATTTAGCGCGACCCCAACCATTGTCGTTGGTGGGACATCCATCCACACACGTGACATCTAATTGGACCTCACTGGTCACGACTTCTCACTAGAACTCAGGAAACTCCAACCTGTAGCAAGTCACTAGAGAGCATCAGATTAACTTTCTATAGTTTGGTTTTGTAAGGATTAGTTATGTTTTACGTGTTGATCACGGATTGATATCAGTTAGATAACCATTGAAAACCAGGGAGTACTGGACAGCTGCTGTTTCATCCTAGTTTGGGAATCATCGGCAGTACGCACCCACTGGGATTCATACCCAGGGCCTTCCGGTTACAAGACAAGATGGCTCGTATACCATTCAGCCACTGGGACCCGATTCAATGGCCAGTCAGTGCATGAATTCTAACTTCTACCAATTCGTGATTTAGTGCGACCCCAACCATTGTCGTTGCTGGGAAATCCATCCACACACGTGACATCTAATTGGACCTCAGTGCTCATGACTTCTCACCGGAACTCTAGGAAACTCCATCCTGTAACAAGTCACTAGCGAGCATCAGATTATTTTTCCATAGTTTTCTATAGAATTCATGAGCCATTGAATCGAGTTCCAGTGGCTGAATGGTATACGAGCTCGCCTTGTAACCGGAAGGCCCTAGGTTCGAATCCCAGTGGGTGCGTACTGTCGATGATTCCCAAACTAGGATGAAACAGCAGCTGTCCAATACTCTCTGGTTTTCAATGGTTCCCTAACTGATATCAATGTGTGATCAAATCAGGTCCAGGAAAGATTAGTGTTATTGTTTGGGTTAGAAGACCTAATTAATTACATGCACTGAATGGGGTTGATTTACTCCGTTGATATAAGAATAGAACTCCTGCACTGTGGTGTTAGAGTATAATTCCACTGTGGGTAAAATTTATTTTGATAAAGTCGTCTCACAGTGCTGTATACAGTAATACTTACTAATGACCACGTTTCGAGCCCGACTTATTGTCCAGTAAATATTACTGTATCATACTATGAAACGTTATCAAAATAAATTTTACCCACAATGGAATTATCCTCTGTTGATACCCCAACCTAAAACTGAGAGCTATTTTTATCCCATGTGAGAGAAAGGTATCCTCTGTAACACTTTGCCACAGATTTTATACATTTTTCCTCATAAATATCTGTATTCCATACACAAAAATGCCTCCTTCACGTGATTGGTGCGTTCGAGGTCATTCGCTAATTGGCATAGTTAGCAGTGGTGCTTAAATATTAACTTTGCCAACATTAATACATAAATCAATGACAAAATTTTTTAACAAGGAAGGTTACTTTTCATTTTGTTTAGGCATATTTGATTTTTTCATGAATTGTACACATCGTCGATTTGTTAGTGTCGACGTATCATCAGCAGTTGAGAAAAGACCAAGCAATTTTTGATTATAAATTGATGATCGTGATGTTGATGAAGGATTAATCCCCTCTTGACTAGTCATTATTGATGAAAAATTCAAGCGTTCTTCTGATTTTGATAATGGAATCGATTCACCCTCAGATAGTTCATCGATTGATTCAGCAACTGGAAATAGAAAAGGGGGTATTTGTAATTTAGAAAACAGAAAGATTGACTGGAGGAATATTGACTTTTCAATTAGATCCTCATCTCACTCTGACTCTACTCTAATATATTATCCATAGCATTTTTATTACAATACACAACAGTTTACCAATCATCAAGCGGCACTGATATGTTTGTTAACAATAATTAGTCAGTGTCAAAATGTCAATGCGACGGGTGATAATTAACGAAGAAAATCAATACACACAATTAAAAGGTAGAAATGTCTAGAACAAATTAATTTTACAAGGATAACACGTAATTAAAGATGAAGTGGTCAGAAAAAATTGATAAAATAATTTGGACAATTATCATTTTTATAGTTTTTAAAAGTTTAGGGGGAAGGGAGCGAAGTAGTCCGGTTTATACATTCATGTAACGATGGCCAAGGTAAGGAAAGTGGCTGTATAAATTTCTTCTGAACACATCCACATGTTTGGCTTCGTCTTCTGGTGGATTCCTATTGCTTCAGCTGTCTGTAGAAGACGAACTCGTAGAGCAAAATTAAGATTATTCGGAATGCAATAAATAATTTTAAAGGCAGTATTAACGTCAACCTAATGCTCACTATCTACAAGGTGTGCTAAAATAGACTTTGTTTGTCCCTTGCTCAACCATGCTGCTGGATGATGTTCGGAAATACGATGATGAATCTGCCTAATTGTCCGCCTTACCCATATTTATTGAACGTGGAATAGGGGTGGTTGTGAAGAAACAACGTACCTCTGCTGTATAATAAGCTGTTTTAACTGCATTTTTCAAACGCTGTGTTATTATTATTTCGCTGATGCTGTCACCCAGGAACTGCAGTTTTACCAACATTGGTTTGCTGCAATGCTTGAGGCATGAAACGGAATTTAGGCTGAAACTTCTCATATATAGATGGACTCCAACAATCAAGCACAGTAAATAATACCTTTACACAGTGCCCAATTCAATTTGAGCTTCGTTTGGTATGATATCCCGTAAATTGTGTTCAAATTGTGCACGATAAACTAAAAATCAATACACCACCACCTGAAAACTACTGGACACCTTGAATAAAGAAGTCCACCCTACTAGAACAAGCTGGATTCAGGAAAGGCAAAATCATGTGTGCGGATCAAATCCCAATACTACGAATCGTCATCATAGAACAGTGCATGGAATGGCAGTCAAACATGCCCTCAACCTCAATTTCATCGACTTTGAAAAGGCCTTTGACAGCTCAGCGTTGACCGAGAAGTAATTTAGAAACACCTTCAATACTATGGCGTGCAATCCCCAAGTCTTTATCAATCTCATTCAGTAGATGGCGTTATGACAATGTCACGTGTCAGATGATCCATAACGGAAAACTCAGTGAGGTGTTCAAAGTGTATACTGGAGTAGGACAAGGCTGGTTGTTCATTATCACCGATGATATTCTTAGCTCTTTTGAACTGGATTATGCATCATACTATGTGTGGGAAGTGAGAAGACAGGGATATGTTGGACTACCAACGAGAAGACTCTTGAATATCTGGATTTTTCAGGTGATATATATCTAACGTCCCATAAATTCGAAGACTTACAGACGATAACCAACAAGTTACCAGAAAAGGCAGGCACCGAAAACACTACTTGAAATGAACACAGTGATGATGGAAGTGACGAAGACATCTAACCAATAAGCACTAACCATTGTCAACGGGAGAAATCTGAAAGGGGTTATTTCCTACGCTTATCTAGACAGCATTATGTTTAACTACAGGCACCCTGGACAAATGAAGTTGTTGAAACCAGCAAGAATCGTAAATGCAAGGTGTGTCTTCATCACTGAGAAATCTGTGTTGGAAATCCTCTGCTCTTACTCAGCCAGCATAAAGAACAGGATTTAGATACTTAACACCGATATTGAGTCAGTCTATTTTTCTACGTGGGTCAGAAACTTGGCTCGTCCATCACTCGGAGCATTTCGAATAGGCTACTGCTGAGTTTTATCAACAGCTGACCATTTCGCTGTCCACTAAGGATCTGATGACCGTAAAGAATTAGCGATCTGGGACTATGGGAACAAACTAATCAGGAACCTATTGCTCGACAAATATGTAGAAAGAGGTGGAGAAGGGTTAGACTCACTCTGAGGGAACAGGCATAAAATGGACTGACACAAAAGACTTGGAGGATCTGGATTTCGCCGATGATATATGTCTGATTTCCCATAAACTGGAAGATATGCAAGTGAAAAGTAACAAGTTGGCAGAAGAAGCATCAAAGATAGGACTTCACGTGAACATAGATAAAACAGAGATAATGAAGATTCATAGCCAAAATCAACAACACCAACAGACCACAATAAGCATAAATGGGAAGAACCTGAAAGAAACAACCTCCTTCACCTACCTGGGAAGCATCGTCTCAACTACAGGCGGAACTGACGAGGACATCAAAGCCAGAATCGGAAAAGCAAGACAAGCTTTCATTACTCTCAAATCTGTGTGGAGATCAACAGCAATCAGCATCAAAAATAAGATCCGGATTTTCAACTCCAATGTGAAGTCAGTGCTACTATACGGATCAGAGACTTGACCAGCGCGTCATAAAGAGCATCTCAAACAAACTTCAAACCTTCATTAACAACTGTCTCCGCTCAATACTCAAGATCAGATGGCCAGCCAGAAAAGATCAGCAACAGGGATCTCTGGGAGCGAACCAATCAGGAACCGATTGTGAAACAAATAGGCAGAAAGAAATGGAGATGGATTGGCCATACGCTGAGGAAACCATCAAGTGACATCACTAGACAAGCCCTCGAGTGGAACCCGAAAGGGAGGCGGCGAGTTGGTCGTCCAAGGGTGACTTGGAGGAGGTCATGTGAAGAGGAGATGAAAGCATGTGGGCAGACCTGGAGCAGGGTGAAAAAGTTGTCAAAAAACCGAAGTCAATGGAGGTGCGCAGCTGAAGCCCTATGTTCCTCTAGGAACTAAAGGATACAATAATAATAAATATAATAATGAGGAGACTATCAGGTGACAGATTGCACCTAATTGTCAAGTAGTATCCGAGTGGGAAACGACGAGCTTGATGTCACTTAAAGGTTGACATTCAGGAGACTCTATGAGGAGGAGTCGGAAGTTTGTGCGCATTATCTTGAGGCTAGCCAAAGAGGAGTGCAGATAAGGAAATGAAATGAAGGAACCCAAGTAAATAATTAATAAAACTCGAATCAACGAATTTATTATTATTATTATTCCCTTGAGTTCCAAGTGGAATATACGGCGCGCGCTTCAACAACACATCTCCACTCTTTCCTATCCTCTGCCATCCTCTTCAGCTCGGACCGCGACTGCCGATAATCTCTCATCTCTTCCTCTAACTTACGCGATCTCCTCCATGTCATCCTCGAACCAACGATACACTCTTTGCTTCCCTTCGGGGTTCAACTTGAACAGTGGCCTGGCGCGCGATGTCATTCGACGACCTCCTCAACGTTTGCCTGACCGATCCATCTCCATTTTCTCCTAAATATTTGTTGAGCAATAGGCTCTTGGTTGATTTGTCGCCAGCCAGTGTTTCTTGTTACTCATTCTTTCTGACCGGCCAACCGATCTTCAGTATGCAGCCAGTGAAGGTGACAGCTGTTGATGAAAGTCTACAACGGACTAATGGAAATTCTTTTCGTGACACGCTGGCGAAGTTTCTCATCCATGTAGAAGAATTGAATGATCTCACATTGGTGTTGAAAATCCGTATCTTGTTCCTTTATGTTGAGTACAGAAGATTTCGAAAATAGTTTCAGTCTGATGAAGGCATATCTTGCCTTTTCAATTCTGACTATGTCATCTTGGCCTAGGTCACCCTTCAATAGCTTGATCGCATTTAGGATCTTTACTTTCGTTGGAGGATTGGTGTTCACTGGCAGGCAGTTCTGTGCGTGCTGTTATTGGTATTTGTTTGGATGAGTTGTAGGTGATGATCAAATCAAGAGTCTTTTAAAGTGATTGGCGCATTGTTTTATTTGTTTATTTACAACCGGAATAGTTTGATTTCATTAAAACACTATTGTGAAATTTCCTTCTGGAATACTAACACTAATGATCCCATCGGGGACCCGGTCCAACGGTCTGTGAATCTTAACTTCTTCCAATTCACAGTATATATATATATATATATATATATAGCTTAAATGCCAGTCATTGTCACTGGCGGTCAACTATCCTCTCCCTAGACTTGGTGAACTCCTTTGGTTATAAATGCTCACTGGAACCTCAGGTAACATCCTGTATACAGGAAATCTCTAGTAAGCATCAGATTAATTATTAAGTAGGGTGCAGCGGGTCGGGTGTGAGGACAAATACTCGCCGATGACATTGGCTAGCGGTCACGCTATGTCGTGAGTTGGCAGAAGTTAGAATTCAAGGACCATTGGATCGGGACCAAGTGGCTTAATGGTATATGAGATGGCCTTGTAATCGGAAGGTCCTGGGTTCGAACGATGGCGGTGGGCGCGTACTGCTGAAGAGTCCCAAACTAGGCTGACGAAACAGCTGTCCAGTACTCCCAGATGGTTTTCCAATGGTTCTCTAACTAATGTCAGCTCATGATGAAATTCTGAAATTAATTATTAAGTGTTGGTTTGCAAAAATTTGGTTGGTTACTAGTAAGACGGCGAGCTGACATCAGTTAAAGAGCCAGCGGGAAAAAGGAAAGTACTAAACACTTGCTTCATCCCACTTGGACAGGGTTCCAACGTGGTGAGAGCAGGCTGCTAGCCAATTGGTAGACATTAATCTATGTCAATTTCTTGGTCACTAATATTGGCCGCGAGAAAGTATGAACAACGCTGATTCAACAACCAATCACAGCAGACTTAACGTGGGCAAATATGATTCGCAGATAGATGGCTCCACTTTCTGAGGAACTCGAAAACAATCAATCAGAAGACTGTGTTTGTCTACTTGAATAAGCTATAATAATGTACAGGAGATATATATATATATATATAAATACGTGTTGATTTCCGTAGTAAAAGGATCTGTTGCCGGCCCTTGTCTTCCATTGTTACACCAATGGCTGAATGGTCTAAAAGCTCACTACCTGGTAACTAGAAGTCGGTCCACCCAAACCCCGGTGGGTGCACCCTGTTAGTGAGGCATAAACTAGGAAAAAAACACCTGACTGTCCAGTGCTCTCATGGTTTTCTAATGGTTTTTCCTCCAGCTGACATCACCTCGTAACCAAACTTATAAAAAAAGGAATTTAAGGGAAAATCGAGTCAAGTATCAACTCTACTAACCGGATCTTGACATTCTTTTCATTGATTGTGATTTAATGAAAGCTGAAAGTGGAGTTGTACACTTTTGACCTGATGATTGTGTTCCAGATTGTATAGAGGCTAAACTATGCGCTGAACTAACCTACAAATAGAGAAAATCAATAAAAAAAAGCTAATTGATCAAACATTTTAACCATATGTAAAATATTTGTAATGTAATTAAGTAAAAAAAACTGCTCGATATCTTTGGTATAAAAGTAAACTCAGCAATGACTTTATTTAAACAGTGTTTAATAGTCAACAACATATGTCTTCGCTGAATACTATTCATTATCAGGAGGCCAGAAAAGATCAGCAACAGGAAGGGATCTCTGGCAATGAGTGAACCAACCAACCAACCATCACAGTAGGAACCGATTGTGCAACAAATATGCAGAAGAAATCGAGGTGGATTAGATTGTGGCCATAATCTGAGAAAACAAACCATCAGGTGAATGACATCACACGCCAGACCAACGCTCAAGTGGAGCCTGAATTTAAAGTGGCGAGTCTGTAATCAGTGAGAGGGTGACAGCATGCAGTAGGTGATGTGAAGAGGAGATGAAAGCATGTGAGTAGATGTCGAGCCAGGTGATGAAAACGTTGGTAGAGAACCAAAAGCAATGGAGACTTTCAGCTGAAGCCCTAGGTTCCTCTAAGAATTAAGCGAAACGATAATAATATGCAGTGGTTTTGTGTTCAAGTTAATTTTGTATTTCACGTTGATTAATTATATTGGGTCAAAATATTCGGTCAGTATTAACACATCGACTGCTAGTAAGAATGCTTGAACAACCTTCGGGGACCAGTATGATGTTATTTGGTGACTGGTGACCAGTGGTGGAATCAAGGATGCAAATATTTCGGACATATAAGGCCTTCTTTCTGCACAAGAGGTGGCTTTTGCAACCCAAATGGCTAAATAGGTAACGCTTCAACGGTTATAAGAACCGGTGCCAGGTGTGAGTCTCAATGTAAACAGTATAATCCTTTGAGGTTTGCAGGTGCATCCAGATGACGGGTCACAGATAAGACGAAACGCGTATTTTAGACTTCATTTTTAGTCATCGTTCATCAGACGATTGTCCATTTGTGTTTACTTTGAAGTGATGCCAGATGGTAAGAGCCAATAGGCACGAAATCCTTCATCTAGTTTTTGTCTTTTGTCTTGCTTTTCCTTCACGTTCCCCAGTGGAACATAGGGGGCTTCAAGCTAGCGGCGTGAAGTTTCTGTAGCAGTGTTTAATTTTACAGGATGGAGTTGCTAGCCTTATGCCCAACCTTCCCTCTTTACCAGGATTATTTCTGCCTTAGCGAGGTAAAGGAGTGCGTTGGTGGCTGGAGATCGAACCACAGACCATGTGAATGGTCGGCGAGCGTCCTAACCACTGTACTACCGACGCACTTCTAGTTTTTGTGCTTACTGTTAATCGTCAGCAAAGAGTACCTGCAAACTTGAAAGCAGTGTCGTCCCTCAAGAGATTCACACCAGCGAGATCCAGTTCTGCCGTTAGAGACACAACCACTGTACTATTCGGAATCACGACCGACTCATGTTACGAATGCAACGGACCCAGCCGTTAGTAGCCAGAGAGTAGAAAATGTCATACGTCTAGCCCCTGGGTGTCGGTGTAGATTGAATTCTATCAGTCAAGCTTGATACGTGGTCATCAAGCTACAGTATTGCTTTAAAGGGAATTCACACATCGGATTCCCTACTTCAAGCGCAAGAATATAATCTCATCACCATTGATCTTTTTGCTAATTCTCAAGTACAAATATTGATTGAGTTCATTTCGTTGGGTGAATTCTAATCATACTACGTACATATTTGTTTTATTCCTCTACGTTCCCAGGATCATTAAAACCTTGATCGACAATCAAGGTCAAGACAATGTCCGAACTAACCACCTTCTTTTGGATACTTGAGTTAGGTCTCTTAATGTGTATCCTAACAGCCAGCCTCAGCAAAAATGTAGTAAACGAACTCTTAACGTGAAGTTAAAATTGATTCGTCTACGGTAGATAACTTTGAAGGCAGCCTCGTTTACATCAATCTTGCGTTCTGTATCCACAAGATGAGAGTGAATAGCGCTACGGATGGATTATTTGTGTCCTTTACTTAACCAACCACACAGGATGGAGTTTGAAAATCCGACGATAAACATGCCTAGTTATACGGCCTATGCAACCAATTGGCTCCACAGTAGCAGTCAAACAAAACAAGAACCAATCTCTAACCAACAAATATGCAGGAGAAAGTGGAGATGGATTGGACACTGTCTGAGGAAGCCGCCGTTGGGCGATATCGCGCGCGCGTTCGGCCATCGCTCGGCCACCCGAAAGGGAAGCAGGCGGCGAGTGGGACGTCAGTGCAAGGGTGACATGGAGGAGATCGTGTCAAGAGGAGTTGAAACAGTATGGACTAACTAACATGGATGCAGGTGAAAAGTAGAGCAAAAGACAGAAGCAAGTGGAGACGTGCAGTTGAAGCCCAATGTTGCACTAGGAACCCAAGGGAACAATAATAATAATAAATCTTTAGCTCCCGAATGCAAGATAGGGGTGGTTTTGACGGCACAGCATACTTCCGTGGCATTGAATGTTCTTTAAACCGCCTTTGTGCTTAGGCGTTGCGTTACTTATCTGACTGATGTTATCATCCCCGAGGACCTGGAGTTGTGAGGATAGGGCTTTTCTCAGAAGTGTCGGCCTGCCTTGACTTTTGACTCATATTCTTATCAATGAATTCTCCTTGATAACCGTTCTCACACATCAACTGTTTAATAATGTTAAGCTCCTCATTGAGACATTCATCAGAGCGGATTGCCTTTGCTCTGTGGACCAAGCACTTTATCAGATTGAGCTTGTATTTCAAAGGCACGAAGCTTGATAAATGAGTATACTGACAGTCAGGTGATGTAGCTTTCTTGCGCACACTTCTTCTCACTATATCGTCCTTTTTTCACCAGACTTACTCTCCCTAGAAACCAAAACTATTCACAACACAATATCTGATTTGCTTGAAACTAAAAATAACAGTCAGGAAGGCGGCCATAAACATAAGACGTTCTATACAACTGATTGATGTATATGAGTAGTTGAATAGTACTCACATACACCAGTGGTGCTTGCCAGCCACAACTGATAATCTCATCCTGAAACAAGCGAAACAGCAGTCCTACAGTGTTAAGATCCCCTCGAGCTGGCTAACAAGCCATTACTGGTTGATATGAGTAGTATCCAACTACTCAAATAAATTGATCAGTAGTATGCTCGAATTAATGTCATTTATCGAAGTGATTTTATGGAATCACTGCAGTTTAGAATAAGTGAATAGGCATACAATGGAAGAAACTTTCGTCGCATAACTAAACGACTAGCTGGGTGCATGAATTTCCAACTAAGAAATCCGCACTAAACTCCAATCGTGCAACATTTCATAGCAACAGTTATTATTATTGTCTCCTCCAGTTCCTAGAGGAAAATTAGGCTTCAGCTGAACGTCTCCATTGCGGTCGGTTTGCCACCAACGTTTTCATCACCTGGCTCCACGTTTGCCCACATGCTTTCATTTCCTCTTCAAGTCACATACTCCATGTTGTCACCCTCACACTGACGACCAACTGACTCTCCACTTCCCATTCCGTCGGGTTCCACTTGAACGTCGGCCTGGCGTGTGATGTCATTTACTTGATGGTTTGTTCTCTGAGAGTATAACCAAAATCCAATCCACCTCCATTTCTTCCTGCATATTTGTTGCACAATCGGTTCCTGCTGTGATGGTTGGGTTGGTTCACTCACTGCCAGAGATCTCTCCCTGTTGCTGATTTTTCTGGTAGGTCATCTGATCTTCAGCGTAGTATTGAGCGAAGACAGCTACCTACTGATGAAGGTGTGTAGTTTGTTCGAAGTGGCCTTCGTGACACGATGCAGCGCCAAGTCTCTCATCCGTATAGTAAGTATTACTGACTTCACATTGGAGTTGAAAATCCGGATCTTATTTTCCATACTGAGTGCTGAGTGTTGACCTCCACAAAGACTTGAGAGAAATGAAAGCTTGCCTTGCTTTCCGGATCCTCTCTTTGATATCTTCACCAGTTCTGTCCGCCTCCATTTAGAACGACGCTTCTCAGATAGGTAGGTAGGTAAGCGAGGTTGCTTCTTTCCGATTTCTCCCATTTATGCTGACTGTTGTCTGTTAGTGTTGCCGTAGCTGTTGACCAGTAATCTTCATCACTTCCGTTTTCTCTATGTTCACTTGAAGTTCTATCTTCTCTGGATGCTTCTTCTGCCAACTTGTTGCTTTTAATGCTTGCTTATCTGATGGTTTGTGGGAAATCAGACATATCTGTCGTTGGCGAAGTCCAGATCCTGCAAGTGTTTTTGTTATAAAGGTTTAAAAAACAAATACAATAGTCGAACTATACTTAAAAGAAATGAGGAGGAAGAATGATTGTATGGAGAGTACTAAGGATCAAATGGATCTGAGTTTGTCAGTAGATTCTCACCAATAACGTCCTAGATCAGGATTCGAAACACGGTCAACACTCTCCAGAAGCTCCCCTATTTTACCAACTTGCAGTAAGCCAATGTGGACGTAAAAGAATGAAAAATGGATCTGGCAGATGATCAAGAGTGAGTGTATCTGAGACATTGAGAACGATCTTGGGAAATGTCACCGAACAACAATTCTTATCACCCGATAATCCGTCTACATAGCTTATTATGACGAACAAAAACTTCATAGAATAATGCATTTTTTATTTGATAGTATTATTAATAAACGTGGCTGTACTTATACTGGCCTTCTCATGGTTTATCAAATGGTACTTGAACTGGCCACCATAGTAAATTGCACTCGAAACCGTTATCAAACTCACTCATTCTAAGATTTATACTTCCTTCCAAGATCTTTTAACTGCATCATCTTCGGAGTAAGTAAAGCTGTGAACTGAATGGTTCTTTTGAAAGGTTTTTTTTCCTTACTTACTGAAGATGGCTATAAAAATATTTCAAAACTAATGGCGTACTGAAAGAATGTCTGTCACTTCAATATTATCTGTGACTTCTGTTGTAGTAAAGTTCGGAAACATCTGCTTTTGATACCAACAGGTTGTCATGCAGTCACTCGACTGGTCGAAATCGATTAATTTATGAACACTAACTTCTGTCTATTACCAGTGTGACAAAACAGATATCTACCGTCGCCAATGTGCCCGCAACCTCTCGCTGACTGTTAAATAATCCCTTTCGAACCAATTCATCAATGTCAGTTAGTTTTGTGGAGATTCTGAAATATGTCATAATTTTAAATGTGTTGATTTGAAGGGATTTGACTGATTTATATCAGTAGTGGAAAGCTGTTTCTTTCCAGTTTAGGACTTCTCAGCTGTATGCGTCCATTATCCATCCCAGATTGGATAGAATTCTGGACCATCCGGTTACAAGGTGAACTTGTAGACTATTTAGCCTCTGGGGGGGAGTTGTGTTATAGATCGTAAGATGGCAGAGGTAGGAATTGGTGGGTCATTCGACTGGATCTCAGTCCGGCTAACAGATGTTGGCTGCAAAGTCATTTTAAAACTAAGAATTTTTGAATGATGAATAGATATTCCCCGAATAATATCTGTGAATTCTTCAGTAGTAAAGCCCAGGAACGTCAGCTTGTGACGCCAACAATTTGCCATCCAGTTAATCGATCATTCATGATCCCTAACTTTTAGACATTGACATTGCGGAAAAAACGGCTTTCTGTTGTCACTGATGTCGTTACCACCTCTCATTGGCAGTTAAAGAAACCTATCTCAAACTAAATCATCAATATTAATTTTGTGGAGATTCTAGTATTTTATTATTATTTTTTATGCATTGGTTTTGTAGGGATTCTGTTTGATATAATAATAATAATAGCTTTATTCCAAAAACAGAACTCATGATACAGCAAGGAATTTTCAGCATTCAGTACAATATTGCATCTAATTTACTCAAAAACGACAAAAAAAATTAAAAATACCCATTACATAATAGTAATAAAACGATTGTTATAGCAGCTACGTATCAAAATACTGTGTGCCATACGCAGAAAAATATGCATAAAGTACAAAATTGTAGTAATAATAGTAATACCAACTAAAAATAAAATAGCAGAGTAACGATTTAAACGATAGAAAGTGTGACACCATAAAATACAGAAAGATGAACGATAAAAGGGTCGATTCACTGTGCTAATTACATAGTAACTTGTAAGTTTCACGTCTAACAGAGTCTTCGTCACATAAAGTACGCGCTAAATAGGGTATTGTAGAATTTCTATACTTAGTAGTACGGCATATATCTTTTATATTGATTCTCGTCCTACCTGATGAGATACAAGGACAGGTGTAATAAAGGGGTGCAGAGGTCTGACATATAGCCTTTGCCCATTTCGTACAGGATTTATATGACTATAGTTTAGCGATCATGCAGTGGCCCACAAGCTGGTTGGAGGATTTCATCATGAGCAGCTGACATCAGTTAGAGGAACACTGGAAAACCTGCAGGGAATACTGGACAGCCAGTTGTTTTGTCAGCCTAGGTTGGGACTCTTGGGCAGAATGCACCCACATTGCGGGGTTCGAACCCAAGGACTATCTGGTTACAAGGCGAGCAAGCTTCTACACCATTAAGCCACTGGGGCCCGATCCAATGATCAGCCTATTAATTCTAACTTCTGCCAATTCATGACATAACGCGACCACTTCTCAATGTCTTCTTAGATGAGTTACTGCCTCAACTTCATTCGCTGAGTGTTAATTTGCAGGGATCTGACAGATCCTCACTCAGAAGGGATATGAGGTTACAGACAAGCCTTGCTGACTTGCGAGTGTCTACTAGCTGGAAATCTAGGTCAGGCAAGGCTTCTTGTGGCCGATTACCTCCACCGTCAACAGATCCTAAATCAGATCAAAAAAGAAAACAAAATCATTTGGTGAACCAGTAAAAACCAGAAAATACTGGAAAGTCGTTTCATCCTTGTTTAGGACTTCCCAGAAGTTTGTATACACGACCCATCCACCAGGGATTGAGGCCAGTACTTTCAGCGCTCATGAGAGGCGTCCATCGATCATTTATCCATCTTGTCAGGTTCAAATAGTCAACAAGTTCAAAATTCAGCGGATTTTCTACAGACAGCATCGTCCGTTGTCATCAGTGAGTATTTTACCTCCAATCAAAGTTGGTCATGACGTCTCACTAATGTTGGTTTTCGAGTATTCGATTATTTCAACTTGGGCCACTAAGCGACATCAGTTAGAACACCGCGATAAGCCAGGGATAGCTAGTTCGTTTTAGCCCTTTTTCATATTTAATTTCAACAAGTAACTGAAGACTAAACTTTACTCAAAAGACCCCTTCTCTCATGCATACACAAAAAAGAGGAAGTGTTCCTTCCTATCAGAATTTGTTTTATCAACTTACATTCCGGAATCGTGGTTTCATTTTCATCTGCTTACCACTACTACTGCTACTATTTGTATCATAAATAAAATTATACCAAATTTGATCAGGATGACTTGGTTGATCGCTTGACGTCTTCACTTCTGTACTCGCATTATTATTCGGACTATAGGGAGTAATGTAACGGAGGAATAAAAGAGAAGAAAAGCTGAATTTTAATTAGGTGAAAGCGGTTATCAGTGTCTCACAGTAGAATTCAAAATATGCCTTTTGTCTTCTTTAATATTTTATTGCATGGATACACTAGCCTCTTAATGAATGATCCGTTTGTGTTACAGGTAAGTGCTCTTGTCTACTCACCTCTCTGTGCAGCTGTCAGTTCACTTGTTTACCTGTGGAGCAACGTACATCAGCTATAGACAGAGAATACTCTCCACACAGATACTAGAATATATCTCATTATGGGCTTACAAAGGAAAAAGGAAGGATGATCGACTCGTATCACTCAACTAATCCTGACAATCTTCAAGTATTGGTTTTGTAGGGATTTTTTTGTTGTTGTTTGATTGGTTGGAGTATTTCGTCATCAGCTGACGTCAGTTAGAGAACCACGCAGGAGTACTGGACAGCTGTTTCATCATCCTGGTTTGGGACTCTTCGGCAGTACTCACCCACAGTGCGGGGTTCGAACCCAGGACCTTTGGTTAAAAGGTGAGCTAGCTCATAGACCACTGAGCCAAACACTATCTGGGCGAGGCTCATACATATAGCATACAGTCTTCTTCAAACCTTGCACGTAACCATTAGGTCACGTACTCTCCCATAGCCCTTGGCGCATCTGGCAACAAAAGCCACGAGAACACCATCAGAGAATTTGACGGGTTAGGCTTAATGGTCTACGAGCTCGCCTAGTAACCGGAACGTCCTGAGTTCGAACCCCGCACCGTGTGTGCGCACTGCCGAGGAGTCCCAAACTAGGACGAAACGGCTGTCCAGTACTACCGGCTGTTTTTCCAATGGTTCTCTGACTGATGTCAGCTTGTGATGAAATCCTTCAACTAACCCTAACAATCATTCTAATATCATTTATCGAATTCATTCATGCAAACCTATAGTCTTTTATTCGTTACATTACATTAGCTCACCCATTTCTCACATGAATTCAGGTATCTATCGACTGCAATAGTAATGAGCTTACTGGGTTGCACACCACTCGCTCCACTGACAACCTTCAATACCCTGTTCAAAATAAACTAATCCTTTTTTCAATAGCTCAAGCAGTAAAGCACAACAGACAAGATGCGTGAGTTAACAAGTTGTAAAAGTAGAGGTTGAGTAATACCTCAGTGATTGTCTTAACTTCTTAATGTAGAAGGCTAGACGAAACATTTTTCTCCAACTAAGATAGGTCAGAGCATGGAACCGTATCAATTTATTTTATGCTTAACTTATTCTCTACGAGCACAGTGTAACCTGATGAGTTCGTCAAGATCACTTTTATTCCTGATGATGAGTCCCAGGCTAGAACGAAACCGATGTCTAGCACTCTCTAGTTTTTTTTGGCAGTTGTCTAACCGATACCAACTCGTGGCCAAACTTAAAATAAATCTGATCCCTACAAATTAAATCTTAAGAAAACACAATTCACACAAACAGTTAACGGATCTACACAATTCAGAACAATTTTGAACTATATAATGAATAGTCTCCAGACATTAGTGCTTAGCATCCCAATGACCCCAGCGGAACAGTTTACACCTCCCTAGATGGCTGGCTCAAACCAACTAATGAAAATTTCATGAAGTGACTCAAAGTTTTCATTTGTCCATGCCTAACCCCCTTCCAACTTAATCCTATGTCAGTTAACATTTTACCATGAGGAGGGAAATGGTTACTCGGCAGGCGTAACACATATTCTAGCCATGTAAACCATTGTAGTTTCACAGCCTGATCGACTAACTGACCCAGCTTACATAGGACTCCATGTCTAGCCTCATTATTGCTCACCATATTACACCATTTAACACGACAAATAGAACTCTAAGAAAAACTACATTAACACTGTACAATCATACTTATATTCACCAAACACGTAAAGCGGTTTATTTATTGAGTAGCACTGACATAAAGCATCGTTCCAACTACAGGCGGACTGAACTGATAAGGATATCAAAGTGAGGATCGAGAAAGCAAGGCAAGCTTTCATCGCTCTCAAGTCTGTGTAAAGATCAACACACTCAACACTCAGAATGTAAGAAAGTAAGATCCAGATTTTCAACTCCAATGTGAAGTCAGTGCTACTTATAATGCGGATCAGAGACTTGGCGCTGCTCTGTGTCACGAAGGGAACTTCGGACAGACTACAAACCCTCATCAACAACTGTTTTCACTCAATATTATTCAGTATTGGATGGTCTGTTGGAGAACATCAGCAACAGGGATGGATCTCTGACAATCAACGAATCAACCCAACACAGTAGGAACCAATTGCGCAACAAATATGCAGGAAGAAATCGAGGTGGATTGGATTGTGGCCATACTCTGAGGAAACTAACCATCAGGCGAGTGACACCACACGGCAGGCCATTGCTCGAGTGGCATCTGAATGGGAAACGGTGAGTCAGTTGGTGGTCGTCAGTTCGAGGCTGACAATATGGAGGAGGTGATGCGAATAGGAGATGAAAGCATGTTGGCAGATGTGCAGTCAGGTGAAAACGTCTGCGGAGAACCGAACGCAATGGAGACAAGGGGCTGAAGCCCTATTTTCTTCTAGGAATTAAAAGAAACAATAATAATAATAATAATGACATAAAATATAACATAAAGGCTTTCAATGGCTCTCTAACTGATATCAATCCGTGATCAACTCGTAGAAACAAAACTAACCCTTACACACTAACTATAGAAAATAAAGGTTAAAAAAAGCTTTAGTCTAACTTGAATTTCCAACTTGCAGATATTGGCCTCCAGTTTGGATCAGTTTCTTGAGAGTTTCCTGAGGTATACATCTGTTCCATTAACCATAGAACACAACACAGCTGCATATATATAAGTTCACTAAAAAAGTAATTACAAAAAAAATAATAATAAAACTGATAAAATCCACGAAAAATGATGGATAACTGATTGGTGTAGATTGTAAGAGAATTAAGGCTTTTAACAGCTTTTATTGAAAATGATATCTAGATTGACATGTCAACGTTTTCTAATGACCATGGCTAAATAAAAATATGCATATTAGAGGAACTATCGACCAAAGGGTCCTAGAAGATCTATACATCAAGGGTGATTTATACGTCAGTATCTAAGATACTCAAAGATCTACAGATGAAAACCAACAAGTTGACAGACATGGTAACCAAGACAGCGTTTAAGATAAATATAGAGAGGACACAAGCGATGATAATATTAGTAATCCATTTTATTCCAAAAACAGTCTGTCTGTCTGTTTTCGACACAGAACTTTGCACCTATGTGCCGAAGTTCAAGTCACCACACTCCATGTAGCACACAAAGCAAGACAAGAAAGTAGAAGAAATGCATAATAGAGAGACAGTAAACAGAGGTGTAAGACAAAGGAATAGTAATAACGAAGAACAATATAGTTTCATTGGAGATCATAAGTCACAAGGAGTGGATGCATCTGCGCCAGCCATTGAGAACGATGAGTTTGAGCCATGTCACCAATTGTTTCCAACCATTCGTTTTTAACGTCCCGCGGACCTCAACCAGTCACGAAGTCTACATCTTCTTATGTGGCTTAATCTAACTGTTGTGGATTTCATTGACTGATGAAGCCATGTTTTGGTTTGACCGCCGCTAGCTCTTTTCCAGCCTGACCCTATATCAGCTAACATTGCTCGTCGAGGAAGGTGATGACTAGGCATATGTAACACATGTTTTAACCATCTCAGTCGAATTAAATTCACATCCTCGTCGATTGATTTCCCCTCCTTACCTAGCACTCGACCGAAACCTAACGTCAATATTACTCACATTATTATACCACTTCACACGGAAGTTAGAACGCAGACACCCATGATCAAAGACAGCTAATCCAAAAACAGTACTTATAATACAGAATGGAATTCTCAGCATTTGTCACAATACTGCATCTGATTTACTTAAAATATAAATAAAATTAAAACAAAATTAACCAGAGGAATTTGTCCACATTTACGATATAAAGTCAAAAATATTCGAAGCATGAATTGAGAGTATTAAATATAATAATAATAATAATAATAATAGTAATAATAATAACAGTGAGTTCGTTTCAAACAGTATTGTCGATTCAGTTTGGAAATTTTAGCATGTTACTATAGATTATTGAATCTAATGTTCTGTTGATGTTGTATAGTGAGGGGAAATATGAGATAAACAGTTACACAACACAGTTTAAATGATGTTCACACTTATGAAAAAATAAACAAAAACAAGAAATTGAGAGGATTATAAATGTAAGAAATACAATAACAATCAAGTTTGGTACTGTAAGGGCGGAAGAAATGGTTTATTTAGTAGTGCAAAGAAGGTTAGTTGGTTAGTTCATGCCTAACACTATTTTCATCACATAAAATACGTGCCGCCAAATATGGTACAGTGGAATTTTTATACTTAGACATGTGCGTGCATAAAGTCTTCTGAAAAAACTTCTTATTTTACCCGAGGATAGACACAGGATAGAAGCTGTGGGTTCTCACAGTCTGACAAAATTCCTTTAGCAAATTTGTTGCATGACATCAAGTGCCTATCAGTGACAATTTCAACGACATGGCCCACTTGGATACCCCCACTCGTCCTACTGACAGTCTTCAGAGTTCTTCGAAGTATGACATAGTCTTTTTTAAGCAATCCAGGAAGGAATAAGGGTGAAGAGTAAAGGAGAATAGGTAAAATACGCGAGTTGACAAATTGTAAGAGGAGAGGTTGGGTTATGCCTGAGTGCCTTAACTTCTTAATGTAGAAAGTCAGACGAAATATTCTTTTAGAAATCGCTAAGACATGGGACTACTGGACTACTCCAACTTGTGTAGCACCCAAAACCTACCTGAATGGTATATAGATATCGGTTAACCATCTGTACTTGGGGTTATAAAAACCGTCTCTAGTCTGAAACGGAGTAAAGCAATAGGACCCGATGGAATGACTGACTCCAGAGGGTTTCAAGAACGTTGGTAACGAACTGTTGCCTAGGTTAACTAGGATATTAGTTAGTGTCTGGGAATCATAAATCGTCCCCTTAGACTGGTGTAAGTCACTGGTTATCCCGGTTTATAAGAAAGGAGACAAATCTTCTTGTGATTATTATAAAGGGATTAGCTTGACTAATATACTATCTTAAGTTCTAGCTTGAGTAATCATGCGTAGAATAAATGGTGCTCTAGAGAAACAGGACTCAAGAAAGCAAACCAGGCTTTTGGCCAAGAAGAGAGTATGTTTATCACACATTCACCCTGTGACCGATTTCGGAAATTAGGCATTCTTATCGGCGTCCAACAGTCGCCAATTTTCCTGACCTAAAGCCAAAGAAGTGTTGTGGTAGTATTTGACCGTGGGGGGAGTGCCGAGAAAGTATGTCGCAGGAATCAAGGCATTCAACTTGAACTTAAAAAGTCACGTAAGAGCTCATGGAGAGTTGTCATGTGAATCGGTGACTACCATTGGTGTTCATCACCATGCATGTACTATTAGAATTAATCCTCACTGACTTTAGCAACTTAGGAATTGACTTGTTGCCAAGGTACAGTGTTACTGAGTTACAGTGTGCGGATGATGTTTTCCCCGTGAGTGAAGACGTCGATAAAAGGCAGAATCTTCTGAACACTTTGAACAGAAATCTTCAAATGTTTCGTATGTGGTATGCAGATCTAACAGTGTACACCCAACCTCATTACTACTAGACATATTTAAAACTCGTTCTTTGATAGATAGCATTCGTGAAAATGAGGCATCTTGGCTAATACCATACGTCGGAATTCAACCCATTAAGACTAATACAACTGCTTAAGCAAAGAAGCGATCGACATGCTGAATCAGTTCACTGCTTATTCATAAACTAGAAATTGATGCAGGCCAGCCCTGTAGAAAATTCATGCATTTGACAGGAGAAAATCTTATCCCAAACATGCCGAGATTTCCATTCGATATGTTTTAGAAATTTCTACATACTGTGAGCATCTTCACCTACATGGGCAAGATCATTTGAATACGGTAGATTTTATCTTGATAAATCACACAGTATTGTTATACAGTAATATTAACTGGTGACGTTTCCAGCACAAACTATTGCTCATAATCATATCAAGTTACTCATACAACTTTTTACTTCATTTACACACATGAGTGAAAACTGATGATTAGACATTTGAATAAAAATCAATATGGGATAATGTACATTCAGAAACAATAATAACTCAGCAAGGTTATGGGGTAAAGAAGAAGATCTCTAGCTCAGGTAGGTGGATGCTATCAAATTATTTGTTTTCTCTGAGCTACTGGTTGATGATTTAATTGTGAAGCTTTCGTCGTATCCCTTCTAGACAACATATTACTTCAGTACAGGTTTCAGTATAAAATGGACCTATCTATCTAAATTCTCCATGAATGGTGATGTAATTGTATCCCCCCACTGACAACCACTGTTGTGACTGGTTGTTTGTTAATCTACGTCTCTATTGATCATCATAATTTTATTGACTTGGATGGAATTCGAACTTTCTTGTCATGTGCTAACTTACTTTTTATTAACTGGTAAATTTGGTTTATAGTAATTAGTGTGTTTGTCAACTGTTGGCCGGCTCACTTGAGTACCAGGCGTCTAGGAACTCCCTGACTGCATATTTGCTGTTTTCTCCTCTGAAACCGTTATGAAAAGGCTAGAATTAATAGCCCTATGAAGGCATAATTAAACCAAAAACCTTGGTACATTACGTTAATGATACATTTGTAATAATTAAAAGGAATGATTTGGAATAAACTCATAAATTAATAAACGATATATATATGAAGACATTAAATTCACGAGAGTATGCAGGAGAAAGTGGAGATGGATCGCACACTCGCTGAGGAGACCGCTGGGTGACATCGCGCGCCAAGCCCTCGAGTGGAACCCGAAAGGGAAGCGGCGTGTGGGACGTCCAAGGGTGACATGGAGGAGATCGTGTGAAGAGAAGTTGAAAGAATATGGATTAACGTGGATGCAGGCGAAAAGTATAGCGGAAGACAGAAGAAAATGGAGACGTGCAGTTGAAGCCCTATGTTCCACTAGGAACCCAAGGGAGCAATAATAATAATAAATTCACGAGAGAATTAATTAACACAGAGAATTTAGAAACATAATTATATAGACAATCAACGCACACAGACTAAATATTCAGTTATAATAGCAATAACCCAATTACCCCACAAAAGAAACTGTGTGCAGACATTGTTTCAACACACTGTAGCACTCCGGTATTGAAGAGACTGGAGGGAAAACACCTACCAGCTGTCTTTAAAGATAACTCATATCCTCACATTTTCATCAAAAAGCGTTTAAACTTGGGTCATAACACCAACAACAACAAGCCGATATCAAAGACCACAAGAATATTCATTCTACCATTTATAAAAAATACCTCTGAAATAACAGCTCGAATATTAAGACCGTTTCAAATATATATATAGCACACAAGCCAGCCATCACAGTCACTTCATTCATCGATATTGTGCAAACCAAAAGACCCATCCAACAGAAAACGAAGATAAAATGAATACCATTTATAAAATAAACTGTATGAAGTGTTACAGAGACTACATCTCATGATATTAGATGTTTGGAGGCAATCGGTCAGAGGAAGCCTTGGACCTGGATTTCGTACTAGTTGGCACTTATCAGCAAAGCGTATCTGCAAACTTGAAGGAACTCATGTCCTGTCTGAGACTCGAACCCACGTCACCCAATGGTTGGAATTCAGTCTGCACCAATGAGAGGACTAGACACATCACACTAGTTACTAGTGTCAAATCAAAGAGATTACATCTGTCAAAGTGGGTGTCACCTTCGAATCAGAATCGAAGAACACAAATTGGTTGTAAAAAGACATGATATATATAGTCTTCCATACTGATGCATGTAGATAATTATGGAAATCAATTTGATGATTGGAATAATGCAGAAGTTTTAAATATTTGAAACACCGAAAGGAATGCCGGGTAATTTCTAGAAGCCTGGCATTCAAGTGAGCCGGCCAGCAATTAACAAACACACTAATTACTATAAACCAAATTTACCAGCTAATAAAAAGCGAATCACACGACAAGAAAGCTCGAATTCCATCCAAGTCAATAAAAAAATTGTGTGACAATGGAGACGTAATTAACAAACAACCAGTCACAACAGTGGTTGTCAGTGGGGGGATACAATTACATCACCATTCATGGAGAATTTAGATAGATAGGTCCATTTTATACTGAAACCTGTACTGAAGTAATATGCTGTCTAGAAGGGATACGACGAAAGCTTCACAACTAAATCAGCTAGCTCAGACAGAGAACACAACTAATTCATGGTTAAGGAGTGCTTCTATTTATTGGAAATTGGACCTGGACAGAGTAAGCAACTGGTAAGCATTTTATCACTGATACATCGACGTACTTCCTAATCAATTAACGAAACACAAAGCTGGGTTAGACTTAGTTCAATATCGCAGAGATTTCCAGGAACATCTAAGGCTATTCCCCAAGTGTAACCCGAGTAGGGAAATGACGATGGCAGCGAGATAGGTGCCGCTACAAAGGTTACATTGGGTTGAGATAATATCAAAATGAAATGAAAGCCAATAGGCAATCGTGAAGAAGACAGTTAGAAACGAATTGGAAGTGTCTCGCTGAAGCCCTTTTTATTCCACTCAAAATCCAGGGGGGCAATAATGATAAAATATTTAAAGCCAAGTAACATCAAGCAATGAATCTTACCAGAGAGTATCAAAATATAATTCCCTATCGTCATCGCCATCGCCATCGTTGGCATTCTCACCAGTCCCTTCATTCTTTGCTCCATTTCCAGTTTGTTTATCATTCTTCGTATGCAATAGTTTATACGTATCACTATTCTCTGAATCGTTCAGTCGTTTCAGTTCATCGATAAAATTTGGACGACATATATTAAAATATTTAGGTGTAAATGGTCTTTCTGCTTCTGTTGTAAACCACAGCCTCAATTGTCTATGACGTCGCCGTTCTATTGTCAAAGTTGAATAGTCAGTATTCCTTTCTATGCTCTCTGCCGACTGCCTAGAATTTCAGTGAATGAGAAATATATTAGAAAAAATTTTAATTGATTTTTGTGAAAGGACTGTTATTTTTTATAATTTTTTCTGCAAGAATATTTTCAGTACAGGCCTTGAAGCATTGAAGTTCCAATAGCCTTGGTGTGCTTTTCCTGAATGAAGTTGCCAGCCTCATGCCCTCTTCCATAGATAAATTGTGGGTCAGTAAACTAGACTACATTTAGGCCGGGAATCAAACCCCAGTCTTGGTCCACGCTGTTGGTCATCCTACCTGTGATCTACAACTGTGTGGCGTACAGTATACTCGCTCTTTTTATGATTACAGTTTTAAGCTACTTACCAATATTAAGTAGTATAATTTACATTTTCGCTTTACATTACTACCCTGGAAACATTTCAATATTATTTTTTTGGATATTATGAGTTGTTTCTGTTCATTACACCGTTACAGTTCTACGTACACTGTAATACTTCAAGTGTCTATTTCGCCACTTCTTCCAATCTCGCCCTTCGCGCATTTGACTTCACATGTATGTATAAAACTCGGGTACTGTAATAGTAAGTAACTCACAAATTTTCAAAAGAATATATACTGAACAAAGAGTACTCTTTTCGATAACCTGCTCTCCGTCAGGCTCTACAGTTATATATACATTATAGTGAATGAATGAATGAATTAGTGTTATTAACAACATTAATGTTGTTTAAACAACATCGAATCAATAAAATTGATAGATTACAGCTCAATAGCATCAACCTAAAATAAGCTGAATGTCAGAAAAATTAGGAAAGATAATATTACAAATTCATGAATTTATACTCTCTACTGAAGGGCAGTAGAAGGGGCTGGCTGGACTTGCTTCTTTTGAACACAGAGTTCTGGTTGTTTGAGGCGAATTTCAACAGCCTCTGCTGTTTGGAACTTGCGGTGCTTCGATGATTTTGGTAATTTATTAGGCACCCGGTAGATTATAGAGAAGGATTCTCAAATGCTGGCTGGCTTTGTGGCCGGTTTGCACCAGATGGTCCAATATCGAAATGTTAATGGTTTTAACTACACCCTTGCTTAGCCATAATGGGAGATGTTCTCGAGTAAGCACCAAGAATCAAGTTCCTAGAGCAACGGCCAATATAACTCGCTCCAACAAAAGCAGCGCAGTTGGATTGGTAGATTCAATTGGAAGTGGCTAGCTAGTCTACGTAGTTCATCTTTCAGTCGAGGTAGCACCGTCGGTCGTATAGAGAATAATACGTGTAGTTCACCGGCATCAAAAGTTCTTTGAACTGATTTTCTTAATTTCTTCGCAATTATCTCACTTGATATATCACCCTTGAATTGTAGTCGTATATAAAGTGGCTTGTTGTTTACAGATAGTGAGTAGTCCTTTTCCGCTTTCTTAGTTATGTGTTTCTTGATCAATTTTTCGGGATAGCTATTTTCGATCAAAGTATCATATACAATGCTTAATTCATCTTCAATTACTTCTTCTGAGCATATAGTTCTAACTTTGTCGCTGAGGGTCTTACTAAATTTCTTTTATACTTGATAGGAACGAAGCTGTGAAAATGTGTATAGTGTCCTGTCCAAGTGCTTTTTTTATGCAAATTTCTTTTTATGCTACCATTTGGTTTTTTGTAAGTAGGACATCCAGGAAGGCAATTCTGTCTTGGGATTCCTGTTCGCATGTGAATTTCATAGCCGAATGTATTTCATTGAATTCAGTAATTATTGTACTCCTATCAGAACCATTATCACAAAGAATGAAGGTGTCATCCATATATTGGCAATAAAATGAGAGCTTACTGATACGATTGTTCAGAGGTCCATTTTCTAGCTTACTTAGAAAGAAATCAGCCAGAATGGGACCCAATTGGGAGCCCATCGCCACCCCGTCCACTTGCCTGTAAAGCGTGCCGTCAAATTTGAAGTTTACATTCATGGTACATATTAAAATCAATTCTTTTAGGATTTCAGTACGGATATGCCAATGTTTACCAACTGCTTGTCCACTTGTTCACATATGTAATTAACTGTCGAAAAAGTCACTGTTAGAAAGAAGCCTGTCTTCATTCAGCTAGACTTTAAAGGTGAAAAGATTTCAGCAATACTCAACAGAAGACTGAATACATTACTGGCGAAAATCTATCCTACAGCTAAGCTGGTTCCTGTCTGTCGGAAAATATGCACTTTAGTGCAATCAAAGATCAACAGATACCCTTCTCATGTTAACTTCAAATGTGTATACAAATTTACATGTGTGTATGGTAACAGTCACACTAGGAGGGTAGAAAGAAGCTCATACATCCAGTTTTCTGAGCATGTACCAAAACGTCTGTGTTTCAAGGGAATAAGTGCTTTCAAGAGTGCAAATTCCCAGGCATCTCATCAGTACGGGTTATGAGGTGGAAATCTCGAAATTCTTCAAAATTACAAGTAGACAAAAAAGCTCAGCTCTCCTCAATTTTTCTGAAACAATATATATTAAACGCCTGAAATCCAATCAGAAAGATGCTGTTATCAGTCTTTTCTTGCCCACCTGGCAACTGGTTATCTTTACTCTCTCTCTCTCTTTCTCTCTCTTTCATGTGATTACGTAACACTTGACTTTAACCTCGCTCCTCCCCCCCCCACTCTTTGATATAGTGTATTTTTGCTAGTCTCTTGTTTCTATGATCTGAGTTGAACTCACTGCATGGTTACTCAATTTATTGGCTACTCACCACCTTACTCACCTCTCGTCTTTATTATATAACTCCTTTAAGCATCATGGGCATACACTGGCTTTAGTTTTAAACTTAAAATCTCTGGGTAAGACCTATACAAACGAGCGTGATTTTCTGAACACTATTCATTACATTTGGAACCTCCGGTCAATTGATATCATGTAATATTTGCAAGTATGTTAGGCGGTCTGTAGGTAGCTGATGAGAAACCAAAGAAATAAACAATGATGGTACCACATTATTCAGCACGAACCACTGTTATTCTCGCTTTATTCAAACCCTATAATAATTTGTTTATTCGATGTATATCACAAACACAGTAGGACATTATTAAATGCTGGATGACGACGTTTCAAAAACACAATCTCCTGCTCATAATCATAACATCAGTCGTAACTAAACAACTTCAAAACTTGATTTTTATGGTTCTCATTCTTCCTTCTTATTTGCCATATGGAGAGTAGAATTTTCTGGATGTCCAGGACAGGTGTCGAATCAGTTGAGAATACGTGGAATAGGAATGTTCCAACACCTGTCACGGACATCTAGAATCGTCTTATTTTTAGGACTCGTTAGTAAGATGTACTTTACCTTCATCTCCAGTAAGGGATAGTGTTCCCCACTGAGATTTTAAATCACTTCAAATGCCAAAGCTTTGAATACTTAGCCGATGAGATTAGCTAAGAAATCCATTTCTTGTGCAATATGTATGACTGGAAATTATCTAATTCGTGTTTGTGTTCGCCCACCGGTAAACCTGAATGAGACTGACCAGCTTCAGTTAGACAATATTAGCCTCTTGAACCACAAGGCCTCGATATTACCATAAGTGTGTATTTATCAATTCACCTACTCGTGTGGAACAAGGTATGTCGGCTGTACCCAGCGTTCGCTCTCCAAACATATCACCGAACACTTACCAACATGGTTTTACAAAGGAGAAAAACAATGTCCTCGCAGCTCCAACTTACAACATCTGATAGAATCCGGACACTAAGCTACACCCCAAACAAACTTCAAAGTAGTCTACAGAGTAAGAAGTAGTCTTCCTAAAGGTGTAGGGATCATACTTCTTCAAACTGCAGAAGCAATGGCAATTCACTTGCTAAGTCCTGAACTCTGCATACAGAAGAAGTTCGTTTAATCACTACACTTGCAATGGACGTAATATATCTTATTACGCGACAAGTAAATTCTACCAAATCCTTTTCACTTCTGTCTCTTCATTAGTATTATTTTATCTTCTCAATTGTAATAGTTTACATTTTCAACTTTCCTGCCCTCTCCTCCCACCCGATTTAATTTCTACACCTCATTATCACTGTTACTGACTTGACCAACGCTCAATTTCTAGTCATTTTTGTTACGTCATCCAACTTAATTGCTCAATGTCAGTTCTAATTTAAATGGCCTTATTCTCTACCCCACTTCTACTTAGTCTCTACCTGTAATTACCTCTGTCGCTACCCTGACCCCAGTTGTAACATTTTAGTCAATTATATTGCGTCATCTAACTTACTGACTAACTCAATCTTACTTTAGTTTCTGTCTGATAAACCTTGTTTCTATATTAGATCATTCTTGTATTACCTGATCAATTATCAAAAATTTGGCAAACCTCATGTACACACACATACACACCAATAATTGTATATAAATGCGATTGTACAGTTATGTGAATGAATTCGCCGTCGAAAAGAGTCTCTTCGTTGAACGTCTTCTTCTCTTTTTCATATTACCACAAGTGACGTAGACTTCTTAATCCCAGCAATATTGAGGTAACTACTGTTCAAGCCGTGATCAATACGAGTACATACCACGATGGGAAACCGCTAACAACATCAATCAGTATATCATTATATGCACGCATACTTACTGTGACGCATTGCCCAGTAGATCATTTAAATTACATCCAGCAGCGATTAAATTACTCATTAATTTACGTATTTCTGGTTCTTCATCCAGTAGAATATCTTCATCGATTTCATCAGCTGACTTCTCGTTAGTTTCATCTAGTAAAACAAAATTCATTTAACGTCAACAACAACAACGTTTGTGAAGCACAAAATAATTGAGCGAGCAAAGAATAATCTTTCCGATAATTTCCTCTTCTGGCTCTGCAATTATATATGCATATATTTATATACACAGAATATTCTAGATTGGTAGTTAATAACAATAGTGGTGTTTTTTAAATAATATCGATTTGTAAAGTAAGATCAAAATGGAATTACAGTTCATTAAAGATGCTTAAATTATAATAATAATAATAATAATATAACAGCACATAGAATATCAACTAAAATTAAGGAAATTTCGACGAAAAATTAAGGATCACTCGAACTTAGATGTCCAATGGGGTAAGGACAGTGTCTGAACTAGCTTCCGTTAGACGCATAAATTAGGCTTCTTAATTTGGATCCCAACAACCAGCCTCAGCAAAATTTAGTAAACGAATTCTTCAGGCGAAGTTAAGCTTAGTTGATATACGGTAAATGACTTTGAAAGCCGCCTCGTTGACATCAATCTTGTGTTCTGTATCCAAAAGATGAGATAGAATAGTGCTACGCGAATAGATTTTGTTTATCCTTTACTTAACCAACCACTATGCAGGGTGATGTTCGGAAATTCGAAGAGAAACACGCCTAATTGCACGGCATATGCAACTAACTGGCTCACTCCACAGGAGTAGTTAAATTGGTAGATACACACACATGGAAGAGGCGAAATTAGGCAGGCAGTTTGTGCTTTACTCCCAAACTCAAAAGAGGAGTGATTTTGAAGACACGGCGTAACTCAGCAACACTGAATCCCCTTTATATCGCATTTCTAAGGCGCTATGTTAGTATCTCGCTAATGTTGTCCCGAAGGAACTGCATCTGTAAGAATAAGGCCTTTTTGGAACTGTTGGTAACTTCGGCTGCTTTGATTTTAGATTTATATTCTTATCAATGAACTTTTCTGGATAACCATTTTCACTCAGCGACCGTTTAATATTATTAATTTCCTCATCAAGACATTCAACCGAACAGATTGTTCTTCCTCTGTGAACCAAGCACTTTATTAGATTGCGTTTGTATTTCAAGGTTATGAAGCTGGAAAAATAAATATACTGACAGTCAGTTGACATAGGTTTTCTATATACCCTACTTCTTACTGCGTCACCCTCTTTTCTGGTCATAAGGACGTCTAGAAATGAAATACTAGAGTCATTTTCTTTTTCAGTAGTAAAATTTATTGCAGGATGAATCTCATTAAATTTATCCAGGATGTTCTTTGCTTCCTTCTCATTTTTCATAATCAAAAATGTATCATCCATGTACTGACAATAGAATTCAAGCTTATCAATTACATCCTTCAAAGGCCCACTTTCTAGTTTCACAAGGAAAATGTCGGCCAGAATGGGTCCTAGTGGTTACCCCATTGCCACACCGTCGATTTGTCTATATAGTTCCTAATTAAATAAAAAGTGGACATTTATAGTTCATTTCAGGAGAAGCTCTTTTATCAGAAATGCTATAGGAACGGCAACATCTGTCACCATAAACACGAGAGAAATGTAAAGGGAATCACCTAAGCAACGTCTCAACTAAAGTGTCAGTATAGGTGAGGATGTCACAACCAGTCAGAATTTGAAAAACAAGACAGGCGTTCATTACTCCGAAATCAGAGTGTGAATCTTCAAAACTTAGCATAGCGAATGACATCCGAATTTGCAGCACGAAAGTCAAGTGAATCATTGCTTCTAACTGGTTTACAGACTTGTGGCTTGCGTCATCAAAGGCATTTCCATCAACAGGTTACTGCAAATTTTTCAACAAATACTGTCATAGCTGGGTTAATACTGAAGACCAGGTGATCTACCAGCAACGATAAACAATAACCTACTCTTGTAACGAGAAAAAATGAACAGAAAGTATAATTTCATGAGGAATAATCGGAATTTGACAGGGTTTAAGTAAATGGAGACACTGAGGAGACATCGTAGGTGACATCGCAGGCTCACCATGCCCTCAAGTAGGAGCCTGGTGAGAAATGACCAGCTGGGCGTCGCTTTGAGGATGACATGGAGGAGATCGTGTGAGGAGAAAATGAGAGTATATGACCAATCTTAGGGCCAGCTGAAGACTACATAGGACAGAACAAAACAGAAATGCGTTGTTAAAGCCCTATGTTCCACTCTGAACACAAGAGAATAATAATAATAATAAAGGTTATAGAAAGTGAAGATTTCTGGCTATTTGATGAGAACCAGTCGTCGTTGTTTCTCAGAGTCCCGAGAAACTCAACCACACACTGTACATTTCCCTAGTTGGCTAGTTCAGACCAGCAGTCAAAAACTCCGTGGACTGATGACGATGTGTTTTTATCTAACAACCTGTAATTCTTTTCCGATTCAATCATAAGTCAGCTAAAATTTCTCACCGAGGAAGGTGATAACTCGATATGCGTAAGGCGTGTCCCAGATATTTCATTCGATGCAGCCTCTTCAACCTCTTCAGTCGACTTTTCTCCCGCTCCCCCCACCCATCAACCTAACCTCATTGACTGACTAATTCAATGTGGAACTTTGCACACATGTGCGGCATTTCGAGTCACTACACTTCACTTAGCACACAAAGCAAGAAAAGAAAGTAAAAAGAGATTCATAACAGATGATATGAGGCAAAAGGAGTAGTAATATGGAAGAACACTAGTTTTATTGGATATTAGAAGTCACAAGGAAGGGATGCATCTACGATTTTGAGCCGTATCACCAGTTATTCTCAAGCCGTCATTGGTTTTTACCATCTCAAACACCCCAACCAGTCAGGAAGCTAGTCTACATCCTGGCTGGCTGGCTGGCTGGCTGGCTCAAGCTAACTGCTGTGGATTTTTTTCACTGATAAAGGCATGTTTTCGTTTGTCCACCAACACCACTACCTCTTTTCCAACCTGATTCATCCTATGTCAGCTAACATTGCCCATTGTCGAGGAAGGCAATGGCTAGACACTCATACGTAAAACACGTCCTAATCATCTCAATCGATGTAACTTCAAAGCCTCGTCGATTGACTTCCCCTCCTTACCTAGCACTCGACCAGTGTCTAACCTCAATATTGCTCACCCTATTATACCACTTAAAACGGAAAATAGAAGGCAGACACCTATGATCAAAGACAGCTAGTCAGCCTTTTCATGTCCTCCACTCTCAATGGCGGCTACGTCTAACCCACAGCCATAAAGAAGGACGAAGCGGACTGCTGCTGATCAGTACACACGCCCTTTATCTCACCTCATTACTACTGTGACTCTACAACATTGTCTAACACAAATAATAAAAGGGAAACACCAAAATTCAAAGACGTCTGGCCTCTTTATGTCTTCTACCTTCAACGGCCTTGTCTCATAGATATAAAGAAGGATGGAGCAAACTTCTGAGTAGTACACAATCAGTCTAATGTAAGTATTAAATTGATTTTCAAGCGTTAATCATGGGTGCTTGGTGCTTCTGCTGATGACTCCCAAACTAGGACGAAATAATCCTCCAGTTAACCCAACTTTTCATTGGTGCTGTAAGTGATGTCAGTCACTGAGCTTGCTTAGCAATCTGATGGTTCTGGGTTCGACCCCAGGTGGATGAATTCAAGGGTGCGTGCTGGTGAAGAATCCTTGACAAGAGTGAAACGCCAGTCAAGTACACTCTGAATTTCAGTGACTCTCTAACTGAGGTTAGCCCATACTTAAACTTGAATTATAAATCAGTAGAAACAAGTTTAAAACATCGCCTAAAAATAATCACATCAGATGTTCAAGTGCCGTTTAAAATGCAAGAAAATAAAAAGCCTGCTCACTAATATTACGAAAATGTAAAGCACATAAATGAATACAGCCACATACTATTTGAAGCATTTTGTTCTGTTGTAATTCCTGTTGTTGTTGTTGTTGTTGTATTCGGTGTGTACATACGAATTGGAGGAGCAATTCGATTTTTTCTAGATTCAATTATACGATTATGTAATTCCCAAAAGTTATGTACCTAGAAAAAAAAAGAAGAGAAATAAAATACTAACTGACTAACTCTCACTTTACAAGTAACATTAAAAATGTTAAACCATAAAATATTCTTTAATTGAATTTTAGATTTTCCCGTCGATTGATGATTGGACCGAAGTGCTCGGTCTCAGGTTGACATGTCGGCTTCTTGTGCAGATGCTTTGACGATGTCTGGGCATGCAATTAGAATTCAATTGGTGGATGGTGACTAGCAGTGACGGAATCCAGGGTGCTCATTTCGTCCTATTTCGGACTTGTCAGCCGGCTGGATGTACCTGCATTCCCCAGTGAGTGATGATATTCCCAACAGGGCTTGAACCCATTGCCCATAGTTTCAAACGCCAACATGTTAACTTGATGCCGAGCACTTCAGTCCAATCAATCGACAGGAAAATCTAAAATCCAATTAAATAACTAATGACTCGTTGCACAAGAGGTGGCTCTTGTAGCCCAAGTGGTCTAGTGGATAACACTTTGGCGTTTGAAAATATTGGCTCTCGGCTCGAGGCTCGTGGGGGAATATCATCACTCTCTGAGAAATGCAGGTGCATCCAGATGATGAGTCCCAAATAGGACGAAATGCGCTTTATCCTGGGTTCCACTGCTAGTCACCATCCACCAATTAGATGGTTAGAAGTGGTCTGGCAGGTTTGACGTAAGGAGGTCTAGACTACCTGGTTGGAATCTTTGGAGTGCTAAGAACCCATTGCAGCTGGAGACTTTTGGTGATATGGCTGTTTGTATTTCTCTCATGTACTTATGACTTTCAAAATCCTATTGGTTGTTAGCTGTTTTAATTTGCCAACGTAATTAGTGCCTCTCAGGTTCATTTAAAGCATGCATATACGCAAACGCTGTCATTCATTTCCACTGTTGATACCAGACAGTAAAAGATCTCCACGTCAGTAGTCAGTCTTCTCTTCGTCTCTTCCTGTGTCGCGTTTTCGGTATTATCGTATCGTGTCACTGTTGTTGTCGTTGTTTTTGCTACTAGTGGTTAGCCAGTCGATCAGATAAGAAATTCGTTAGCACGACTACCAAGCGTATTAACGGTCAGAGCATAGTGATAGAACACTCACCAGCTGACTCACTCTGGAGGTTTAGGCTCGATTCCACACCAACACACTACCAAACCAGGAGAAAACAAGGAGAGATTCGGAAGAGAGACTAACTATCCAGTGAAAGAAATAACACTGTCGCTACTGAGACTTCAGGATCTTGAAGTTTTAAGTTCTAATCGGAACGCAAAACCAAAGAACGAAAAAGACCAGGGAATAAACATTAAGAAATGAGAGCTGTACATACCTTCTGAATAATTTCTTGATTTAATAAACCAAAAAAACTTCGACCATTTTTTACACAATTCGTAATATTACTAAATACACAATAATAACAAAGTATAAACAGAGAAATTAATCAGGTTATTAAGACGTTTGCAAGAAATAGTACATTAATTAGTTCACATTATACCACTTCAAAGCTGTATGCAAACAAGAAGGTAGAAGAAATATAGTGGTTGGAGGATTTCATCATGATGAGCTGACATAAGTTAGAGAACCATTGGAAAACCAGCTGAGAGTACTGGACAGCCAGCTGTTTTTCCAGTGGTTCTCTAACTGATATCAGTTCATCATGATGAAATCCTCCATCCAGTCAAACAAAAAGAAATCCATACAAAAATCAATACTTGAAAATACAGTGGTACTTTGAATACTTCACTTACAACCTTGTTCGTTTATTTCCCCTCTTCACATACTGCTCACCTTCCAAGCGGAACACAGAGTAGTAGTAATGGTGTTGTTGTTTTTTTATGGGGTGAGGCTACTAGCCTCTCACACTCAGTCTCTTGTATTTCCCGGGTTTAATATTGGTTAGTAAATTATACAAGATTTCGAAGTGTGTAGCCCGGAAGTCGACAAGCATCCTACCACCAAACCACTAACAATATTGCGAACAAGACTGAAGTGATCTGGTCAGATGTCTTTTTTCCCACCCAGTTTGTGAGACAATAAAGCCCATCTAACCACATACATAACCAGCATCTTAATACGGACTGTATCAAGGTATTACTATGTACAATATCCGTTCACTGATGGGAACTAATCACTTCGGCCGTTTATTTTTCGACGCACAAGTACAACTCTTATGCATCTAAATATCTAAGAAACATTGACTTTAAAGCGTGAAAATGGAAAAAATGAAATATCACAGTGGTTCAAAGGTATTCACAAATTTATTAAGAACATCCGTGAAATGTCGCTTTCAATTTTGATCACGAATTGGTTTCCGCCAGTGAACCATTGAAAACCAGGGAGTACTGGAAAGCCGCAGGAATTTGATTGATTACAAGTAAAGATCACGAAGGGTGACATCATGAAATAACATGGGTTAGAATTCTTGCGTCATTCGGATCTCAGTCCAGTGGCCTAATGATCAACAAGCTTTCCTCATAAACTGAAAGTCCTGGGTTTTATCGTCGGTGGGTAGGATCATACATGACCACTTCATAAGAAGGATACCGCTGTCCAGCATTCCCTGATGGTTGCCAATGGTTCTCTAACTGCAGTCGATAGGTGGTCAGTCTTAAAATTGATCAAATCTTTACGAACCAGTAGTTTAAAATGGAGCTTTAACGTATAATACGTTAATGAACTGAAATCAGGTGGATTTTTACTCTTAAACTTTGACAAAAGTGCACCCAGTCAGGTTGCTACGATTCATAAAATCACAAATAAAAGTGTGGTGACAGCTGGCAGCAAGCCAGAAATCGTAGACAGCAACTGACGCTAATGTTTACGTCCTGAATCGGAGTCACTAGGAAAAAAAAATAACAAGCTTAACTTTGAGGAACTCATCAACCAACCACAGCAGATTTATCGTGGGCAAATACGATTCTCAGAAATATGGCTTAACTTTCTGAGAAACGGTCACAAGGAGTACAGAATAACTTTCAACAAGAAAACAACCGATCAGAAGACTTTGCTTCTCAGCTAACAAAATGCTAATAATAATGCATATAAAAATCCATAAATGCCTCTTGACTTTTTCAATAAATTATCTGTCACCTGGCCCTTGTTTTTTATGTCGTTACAAAAGTAAAAGAAGCAATTCAAACAAACTACAATAAGCTGAAATATGTCAACAATCTTCCAATGGTTCTCTAACTAATGTCAGCTCATGATGAAATCCTGAAATCTTAACGACCCTAGTCAAGCTATCCACATCCCCTCCTACGTGTCTCAAAGCGATAGTCAGACACCTCATGAAAATGATGCCATGTTGCGATTTGACCACCTCTAAGCATTTTCTTACCTGATCTTATGTCGGGTAATATCAGTGTGGGAGGATGAAGATGGCTTGACTTGCCTTACGAGTGTTCCATCCATGTCATTCGACGCCGTCTCATAAACAATTGCATGAACATGCATATCTGACCTAACAGTGTACACCCAACCTCATTACTATTAAAAAAAATATTTTACACTCGTCCTTTGGTAGATAGCATTCGAGAAAATGAGGCTTGATGACTAACACCATACGTCATAAATCAATCCATATAAAGTTTAAAGCAACTACTCAAGTAAATGAAGCAATCAACATGCTGAATCAGTTCACTGCCTATTCATAAACCAGAAATTGATGCAGGCCAGTCTTGAAACAAATTTATGCATTTGAAAGGAGTAGATCGCATGGCAAACATGCTGAGATTTCTACTCGACATGTTTCAGAAGTTTCTACATTCTGTAAGCATCTTCACCCATATGGCCAAGGTCATTTGGATTTGTTTTGATTTTATTTCGATAAATCACACAGTGTTGTTATACAGTAATATTAAAACTGATGACCACGTTTTGAGCACAAACTATTGCCACTCATAATCATATCAAGGCACTCAAACAAACTTTTTCATTCATTGATATACATGAGTGAAACTGATGATTAGACATTTGAATAAAATCAGTAATATAGGATAAATTGCATTCAGAAATAATAATATGAGTGTTATTGATCAAATACAATCAGATGGGAAATAAGACGAGTGTTTTTATAGTCAAAACAACTAAGTAACTTGTTAGAATGTTGTGATGTGTTTGAATTGAAATATAATTTTAAGATTATTTATTATCCTCCTCTGATTTGACTGACTGGCGGTAATAATATCTTCCACATTTCTGGTATTTCCATTGAGTCATTTCTGTTGCATGTGTTTGGTGTAGACTCGGTGAACCAGGATCAAGTAATCAACCTCTCTCTCCGCCTACCTATATTACATTTTAGAATTTTAACCCTCCCGCACCCAATGGTGTGGTTGTGTGTTAATGCATGCAGTGCAATTGCCGAGCTTTTTTCTAAATTATTTATCTTCTCGGAGACAACCATTCTTACCTTAGCTAAATTCTTATGTTCCGATAATCTAACTACCCCCGACCTACTAGTTTGACCTATGTAGTTGACCTAACCCTCAGTCATTGCAAAGTATTTTTTAAATTATATTATTTTACTGGGTCCATTGGGTCTTTTAGCCTACAGAGCTTGTCTCTGAATGAGTTGTAGGTTTGAATGCCACTCTAATTCCTGCTTTATTGAGAATCCTACGGAGAGATGGCCTCAGATCTCCCCTCCTTATTTGATATAACAATAGATGCTTTATATTCTCTCTTATTTATGTTTTCACTACTAGTTTCACAATTATTTTTATTTTGCTTTTGGTCTTTACTGATCTTCCTAATGAGTTTCACAGGATAGTTAGTTATTCGATACCAACGCTTCTCCTATCTATTTTATTTCATCATTGTACTACCTAGCGCCATTGCTCGGTTTGTTAAACGCTTAACTAAGCCTGTCTTAATAGTTATCGGATGAGATGAATTAAAGTCTAAATATCTATCATCAGAATGCGTTGGCTTTTGTAAACGCTAGAGTGTAGTCTACCTTCTTCTATTCGTTTTATTTTACAGTCTAACATAGCTAATTCTCCTTGTTCATTTTCCGATTCAAATGTGAATTTTATTCCCTCCACTAGTGAGTTTATGTGTGTGAAGATGCTAGAGATATGTTCTGTTTTTAACACTTTGAAAGTTTCATCCACATATTTCCATCATATTTTTGGAGTAGGATTAAGTGAATGTATTAAGAGCAATATTGTCCTAGCTATCCATGAAGATATTTGCTACGATAGGGGATATTGGTGTTCCAATCATTGCTACACCTTCTGTTTGTCTATATATTTTGCCCTGGAATTTAAAGACAGTAGATGTGAGGCATAATTGAATTCCTAAAATAGTTTTCTCAATGGGTAGCTTTGTCTTATGACTAAGTTCAGGATCAGAAGTTAGTTCCCTTTTAACCGCTTCTAAGACCGCCATATTGGTTGGTATATTGGTATGTTAAAACAAATATAGCGACACTTGATTTAAACAAAAAGTTAACATACTTTGATTGTTGAATGACTTTTTTGAAATCGATTAAACCACGTTTACGTCTTCTTTTCATGTAAGCTGATACTGACTACAGTAAAAAAAAATTGATACCAAAAATAAAATAAATGTAGAAGACAGCTGCTGTGATCAAGATTTCATCAAATAATTCCACAATAGTTGGGCGCCAAATGAGAAGTAGACATATGTGAAAATTATATTTGAACAAGACGTATATTAGCGAATAATATTGCTGTTTTCAATTAGATCTTCTTCGAACTTTACTCTAATTTACATAGATTTATATATAAAACAGAATTTAACCGAAAGCGGTGAGTTTGTGGATCAAATAATAATAACAATAATGTGGTAAATGTTTTGAACGTCAGTAATAACGATGGTTATAATGATAAAAACTGAACAGAAGACAGTATGGTTCACGCAAGAGAGATGTCTATAGAAAACTTACGTCTGGAGGATAATATACACATTTCTTCAGTTTTGTACCAATCCGATACAAAGTCAATCTGGTCAGATACCTCACGAATAGAGCAAGACTGATCTGTCTGTACAGATGACTCCCTAGAAAATGAGTTAGGATACATCAAAAATACGCTGGTCCAAATGGGTTATCCTAGTAGATTTGTAAGGAGACAGGCATATAAACACCAGGTACAATAAAGAGAAACTGACAAAAGTTATAAAGAAACATCTGTTCCTAAAATTGCAATTTAATGATAACGTGGCTGGTGAAGTCTTACATCTGGGATTATCGAGAGTAATAAAACGAATTTATGCTGATGTCACCCACTGTTTGTCATTTTCCAGTAAACGAATTATGACTGCTCATGAGAAAGACAAGCTAGCTAACTGTACCACTTCTATGTGTATCTACAAATTCAGTTGCTTCTGTGGAGAGAGCTATATGGGGTGAACAAGTATACAGCTTAACAATGATATTAATGAGCATCTTTGCTTCATAATTCAGTGAGAAAGGCCAAATAAAATCTATGAGAAGTTCTATTTTGACTCATTCGATTGATGATAGTGGTCACCAAGTGGACAGAAGAAGTGCCTTCAAAGCTATGTGTCGTATTCCATCGAGCCTTTCGAGTGGAATTCGAACCCGCCTTTTATACACTGCTGAAGCTATGGGAATTAATTCTAGAGAACAATTCTAGTCTTTGCATACAACAAAAGAAGTTTTTCAAGTGTTAATTTGTAGGAATTTGATTGGTTTCAGGATTTCATCATGAGCTGACATTAGTTAGAGAACCATTGGAAAACCTGGGAGTACTGGACAGCTGTTTCGTCCTAGTTTGGGACTCTTGATCAGTGCGCACCCACGGGGATTCGAACCCAGGACCTTCTGGTTACAAGGCGAGCTCGTAAATATGCTTTTTTTTCTACCTTTTTCTCTCTGTTGATAAAAGTATGCAATAGGCTGTCGGAAATACTTTTCGTGACACGCTAAGTTTTTGACCCGTATAGAAGAACCGACCTGACATTGGTGTTGGAAATGCGAATCTTGTTCCTTATGCTGAGTTAGTGCAAAAGATTTCCAAACTGGTTTCAGGTTGATGAAGGCGTATCTTACCTTTCCGATTCTGGCTGGTTTTGACATCTTTGTCCGTGCCATTCAACTGTAGTTGAAACGATGCTTCCTCGCTAGATAAGTGAAAGAGGTAATCTCTGTTAAATCTCTTTCATCGATGGCGATTGGCGCTGGTTGTTGCTGCAGTTGATTGTAATGTGAATAATTTATTAAAATGACTTCAAATCTTCTTTTGATTGGACACTAGTAACTAGTGAGACGTGTCTAGTCCTTTCTTTGGTTCAGACTGAATTCTATCAGTTGGGTTTGCAATATGGCCACTATGTCAATAGGTAGCTCACCATCACATCAAATCTATTCAACTTAGAAATGTATGCTATTACATCGTCATATCGAACAGTATCTCTAAGCAAAAACACACAAAGATAATTTTATTGAATTTGAGATTTTCCCGTCGATTGATGATTGGACCGAAGTGCTCGGTCTCAGGTTAACATGTCGTCTTCTTGTGCAGATGCTTCGATGATGTCTAGGCATTAAGTGGTGAATGGTGACTCGCAGTGGAATCTAGAATGCGAATCTTGTTCTATTTGGGACTCGTCATCTAGGTGTACCTGCATTCTCCAGTGAGTCGTGATGATTAGTGTGACCCGTTGCACAAGGCGTGGCTCTCATGGCCCAAGTGGTCTAGTGGATAAAGCTTTGGCGTTTGAATCTATGGGCACTAGGTTTGAGCCTTGGTGGGAACATCACCACTCACTGGGGAATGCAGGTACATCCAGCCGGCTGACAAGTCCAAAATAGGACGAAATGCGCTTTATCCTGGATTCCACTGCTAGTCACCATCCACCAATTAAACACAAAGATAATGTATATACATAACCTATGCATACATATCAAATATATTTCGCGTAGACACGCCGAAATTTGCCAAAAACAAAAAAGTATAGGGCTTCATTGTACTCACTAGTACTGCTGGATAAACATTCGATTTTTCATTAATTCGAACATGTTTAGGACGTAGGGTTGACAACTTTTCTCAGCTGATTCACTTGTCAATACAAGTGTGTTTAAATTATCTGAATGAATAAAAACAACAATGAAAGTAGTTTATATGATAATGAGGAAATTTAACTCGAATATTTCCATGGTGATTCTTCTTAAAATATATTGTAAATTATACGCATTCAAGTCATTGTATAGGCACCAGAATGACTAATGTTAAGTGATGAATGCAACCAGGCATAAAACCTAGGTCCACGGTTTCCTGCCAACTCTTTTTTAACAACTTAGCATCAATTCAGAGCTTACCGCTACGGCGAAGTCTCCGAACTTGGTCACCGACTACATGGTCAACTTGACTGGTGGAATTCCTTGATAATCAACTCTGAGGAATAGACACATGTCTTCTGAAAAGTAACAAACCCCAAAATCCAGTGTTATTTTTCATATCTTGCATTTCAAGTATAACACAGAATTTTAAGCTCTCCGAGTTTCAGTAAGGGTGTTTGTTGGCTGTTGCTAGCCTCACACTATCTAACCTTACCTCTTTTCCGGTGTAACAACAGAAGACAAGGGCCAGGCAACAGATCGTTTTATTATGAAAATCAACACGTATTTATACATATTTCACATACATTATTATAGCTTATGCAAGTAGACAAGCGCAATCATCTGATTGGTTGTTTATCAGAAGTTAGGCAGACAAACGCAGGCTTCTGATTGGTTGTTTCGGGATTCCTTGACAAATAGAGTTCTCTATCTGCGAATCATATTTTGCCACGTTAACTCTGCTGTGATTGGTTGTTGAATCAGCCTTGCTCATATTTTCTCACGGCCTGCTCTCACCACACCGGGATTACTGTCCGCTTGGAGGAGTTTAGAAGTGCATCGGTGGGAGAATCGAACTTGGACCGCTTGTGTGGTTGGCAAGCATCCTATCCTTCAACAACCAACGCTCTAAAATCTATAATTATTTTGATAATAAAATATTTAAGTACTTAAAAGTGATATGAATAAGACATCTTAGCTATACTTGATTAACGTTCAAATGTCAAGCTAGTACACATAATCACTACTGTTTAGCGATACAGATAAATATAGTTATTTAATAATATGTACGTACTTACCCTTTAACAGCTCTTCATTTTGATTTTCAACACCTCTACTACTTTCATCTGCTTCATAACCATATAGTAAATTCTGTTGATCCAAAGAATAAAAGAGAATAATGATTTAATTTTTAGGCAATCACATTCTATCACCATGGTAACTAATTTTTCATAGAATAAACAGGAATATTTACAATGCATGTCATTATATTTCACTAAAGAGCATAAAAAACACAAAAAATATCATTAGAAATTGGAAACAACAATAAGAACAAACGAACATTTTGATAAAAATAAGGCGCTTGTATTATCATGTTATTTGTTCGATGAAGACTGATAGTAGAATCCACGACACACATTTTATCCTGCCTGAGGATTGTTAACATTAATGATAGGATGCAAGTCCTTATTGTCAAGCACAGGTATGTTCTTTCAGCAGTCATACATTACAGCTATAAAGAAGGAAGAAGTAAATTGCTGCGCAGTACACGAGTCCTTTGATGGACAGATGAACATCATACCTACTGTAAAGACGCGACAAGATGGTCAACCCTAGATAAGGCTTTTGTATCCTTATCGGGGGTTTGTCAGTAATCAAACTATTAAGAACAATCTGAATTTCTAAATAGGTAAAGTGGTCAATACATTTGACCGTTTCACTCTATATCCCTAAATTAGGAGTTGGTTCAGAACAGTCCAAGAGGATTATCTCACATCTGAATGGGTTGAAATGTATTCATATTGTTAGTATCTTTACTTAGAAGTAGAATAACATTTTCGTTTTCCAAATCACTAAGCTTTTCCTCAAATAGAGTATCATCTGCTGAAGTATCAAAGGTAACTAAGGTCACATGAGCACATCTATGACACCCTTAGCGGATATCACTTGTTATCGTCATAAAGATGAAAGCTTGAACGAAATTTATTTCTCCTAGCCTGAATTCTTTTTGTTTTCTCCCAGTACGGTTACTGAAAAGGGAAATGAAACGAACCACAACAGCTCAGTTCTTGACCTCTCTGTCCTTAGATGTCATTCTAACAGTAACGGTGCAGAAACCTTTCAAAATGATATATAAGGTAAGGATAAGTTGTTCATAGGGTTTCTAGCTGCATCATCTGTCCATCGGAGAGACTGTTGCTTTGCACAAGGAAAACCCTGAGCTGTATGTACATCAGGTGTTTGTCCAATCTCTTTCAATACCGTGACCTTAAACCTTTTCTTGACTTTTACAGTGATCTAGTGTTCAATTCATCTTCATTCGTTTTCGGGTTTTCTTTTCCTTTCAAACTTCTGACTTTGAGATATACTTGATGCGTATTCAGAATCTCTTACCTTTATGAAAATTATTCCTGTCGCCAAGCGCTCACAGTTTTAATGAGTGGTACTCATTACCTATTTTATTTCAGATCACTCAAGTCTATTTAACCAGGTTTCGTAACTTATTGATTATTTTTCCTAATAGGTGATTTCACATATTTTGTCAACTATTGATACTAACAAATGACCTTCAGAGACAGTTTCATGACCTTTTAGAATACCATATAACGGCATAACTTAGCAGAAAAGTTACCAAAAGAATATTCTTTGTTAAACTATGCCCTTTTAATTCCTCGCAACTGTTTTTAGCGATCGCCATATAGTTTTTGCAAGACTTTGGAATCCAGAATCTTAGATATTATACTAGTCAAGCCAATCCTTCTGTGATTGTCACAAGAATATTTGCTGCCTTGCTTATTTTAGCAGGATGGTCGGTAACTGATATCAGTCCAACGAAACTATCCTGTATTCCTATAGGCTAACTAGTAGCTTGGTTAATCTAGCTAATAGACAATCACTATCATCTTTAAACTCCAGTGAAGACCACTTTTAGACTAGAGGTAGCATTTGCAACCGGAACTGTGGCTGGAGGACTGATATCTACACCACACTCAGGCATTGGTTGGATAAATAATAGCCTTAGAAAAAATTTGTGGGCCATTTTGAATCGCTTCGAAAGATGTCACGCCCACCATGCCAGTCTTATTTCTTGCAATAATTTCAGTTTTATTCTCGTTGCTGATTATTTCGCTTTCATAAGCTTTTAAGGCCTGACGTTTTTATGGTCACAAATAAATGACAGGCATTACTTGCTGCTGATAGTTCTTCCATTTTTCTTCTCCGCACATCAATATTCGCAGTCATTATGAAGACTATGAGTTACATTGTGTTTGAACACCTCTCCAAACTAAATGGCTTTTTATTGGAAATCAGCCAATGGTCCAAGGAAAACGGTCTAACCTTAAATCCTTCTAAATGTCAAACAGGCATAAATCTGACCTAAACAAACTGCTTAGCACTCACGAGGTGTGCAACATAGATGGCAGTGAAATAGAAACCAAGTCGGAAATTAAATACCTAGGCGTCATTCTATCTGATGATCTTTCCTGTTCGGCTCATATCTTGATGATTTCTAAGAAAATATTCCGTCTTACCTTCTACATCAAGAAGTTAAGACATTCTGGTATAACCCAACCCTCATTCCTACAATTCGTTAACTCTTGCATCCTGCCTATTATTCTCTATTGTTCCCCCTTAGTTTTTCCAGGGCTACTGAAGAAGGACTGTATCTTATTACGTAGGATGTTAAGGGTTGCTAGCAGAGTAAGCAACGTGCCACTTAAACAGCTTGTTAATATTCTGGTTGAAAGGCACTTGGACTCATGCGAAAGATGGGACAAATCCATTCTGTCTTACTCACAACACCCTCTTCATTCACAACTCTCCCTTTGTATCTCATCAGGCTGAACCAGAAGCCTATATAGAAAAATTTATGCTCGAACTAGTAAGCACAAAAACTCAACCATATCCTCCCTACTTAGCTCGTGTTTTGTGCTATAAGGAAAGCATTAGGTGTGATACCTATAACTTATGAAATAGTCAGTAGAACAACTGGATCTCGTCTTTCCAACTCATATCAGTCATAGGTACAACGTTTTATTTCTTTTCCCTTTTTTTTCTGTCATGTGCTGCTTTGTTTCTCTCTTCCTTACAAACTCTATTTAAAACATCCTTCTTCGTTCTTTCACATTCCATATACCTCGACCTTTTGTTACCGCTTACGCCAGTAAATATGCTAGCATCTACTTTTCTAACACCTTAAACTCTCTGTTCAATTTTGGCTTTGCTACCGACATGCCAATATGTTGTTGACAAAACTAACTGAGATTACCTTAGTCTATGTAGAACTTTATTTATTGTTAATGTACCAACTGGAAGAAATACTGTAGTGAGATGCTGAGAATTCCAATCTGTATCACAAGTACTGTTCTGAAATAGAGCTGTAGTGGACATTTAACCTGTGAACTTTTGTTAAAACTCACTCACCCCACTTTTGGCGCTTCTGGATTTTTTGATCCGTGATTTTCCTGACGCACTTGGTTTGCTCCCTCGTTGTGCTTTCATACAGCGCACTCTTTGAGTCTACCTCCAGTCGAGTCAGCAGATAAGTTGTACAGTCACTTTATTTATTAAATCTGTTATTCAGTTACATTAAATACAACTCATACTACGAATTCTTTCCATTTTTAGCCTTTAAACTTTGATTACGTTAATCAGTACTTACACGTTAGGTAGAGTACTGGTAAAGTTATAGGACGGTGAAGTTTTTTAGTAAGTGTGGGGATATCAAGGTCTATTTTAAGTCTAGCCCCAACACTTACAGAGCAATCATTATTATTATATTTGAAAACTAGCTGGGCTAGCCTCTTGGCATTAATCAGCTGCAAACAGTCACTGGTATTTACTAATCTTTGTCTGAAGATTATCAACAGTCGTCAACACTGTTTCTACAACAGTATTGTTATAGGACTCAAATATGCGTATAGTTATTCATCTCCTAAAGACAGATTACATATTTTCATGAAGAAGCTTGACACATATGAGCTTCACGACAGCTTATTTGTCACGTCCATCCAGTGTTATGCTCACACAGTCATAAAACAAGAACGATCACATTCTACACACGTGTTCCAAAACAGGTGGCAATCCTCCACTTACACTCCTCATCGAGAAATTTTAGGCAGGGTTTCCAGCTAATGTCCGTGGAATGTTTAATAACCGCAAGTGCAGATGAGCAGTGATGTTAAGTGAAAACGACCAAAACGGAGAAAAAATATTCTATAATTAGAGCTTTTTTAATACTAATAAGTTCACTCGCTTTCACTTTTTTTCTTTTTTGAACTGTCTGAATGATAATTTAAAGTTTATTTGTACCATTTGCTTTTCAACAGACTTTGATATTGTGTTCTGTAGTGATATATCAAGCAGACCAGTGCTAGCGTGTCCTTTAATCCATAAAATTCACTAAGTTGTTCAACCTCTTAGCAAGCACTAGTAAATATATTGCAATTTATCTATCAAATGCAATGAATCATAAACATTTCAAAGTGCAAAGTAGTGAAGTTGCGCACCTGTAGACTGCAGAATGCAAGTTACACCCTGTGCAATGAAAGCTTGTCCTGCACAACGTCGGAACGCGACTTAGGTCTAGTTCTAACGGAAAAAATGGACACAAGCGTAAATTACACAGGGGATGTAGCGAGGGCATATGCGGTCATACACTTTACGCATAGACAGTTAGGTGCACTCACTCCTGAGCTCTTTCTAATGTTGTACAAAACATACGTCAGGCCACACCTTGAGGTGCATAATATTATTGCACCCCCAATGCTGAGAAGAGATGCCAACCTCTTGGAGAGAGTCCAACGACGGGCAACAAAAGGAGTGGTTGGTCTCCGAAACAAACCATATGATGAAAGGCTGAAGAAATTAGGCCTGTTCACACTTAGTTACCGTCGGCTTAGGGGGGATTTGATTACTGCCTACAAAATAACAAATGACCAGAATCACCCAAACAAAGGTGTTCTGCCATTGAGTAGGTATAGGCTTCCACGTGGAAATCCCAGAAGGATAGCTCACCAGAGGGCAAGGACCCGGGTGCGCTCCCACTTCTTTTCACTGCGGGTTTGTCGTCCCTGGAATTCCTTACCGTCAGATGTAGCTATGGCACCGTCTTTGGACGCCTTTAAGCGAAGGCTGGACAACCATGCAGCTATACAAGAACTGCATCCAAATGGCCTATCTCCTTAAAATCGCATTTACCAATCAGGGTAGATAATTAAACTCGTCATTTTACTTCTTTACATTCTCTCCCGTCTTACTCTCCTGACAACTTATTAATATTATAATTACTATTATTATTATTACTATTACCGATATATATATTATTCTTCAAACTTCATGAGCTGACTGTTGTTACGTTTCCTATTTTCGTTTCTGTCTCTTAGTCTGAATAGCTTCACTAATTATATCTATTATTATTATTATTACTATTATTATTATTATTATTACTATCTCTTTTCTCTTGTCGACAATACCGAAGGACTAACTGGCGAAAGGATCAACTCCAATCACAGTAGTAACAGTCTTAACATACCTCATACTACAAACCACATATAATTAATCCCAGCACTACTCCCTTTGGAGTCAACCAAAGCTACGACAGTCGAGTGGCGGGACAAGCTACGCAGAAGTTTACCGAAGATCAAGAACCTATACCTCACAATCAAGAGGCGAGCACAAAGAAATCAAATTGGTTTATACTAGCTCGTAAAAACGATATTGGATATTGGATATTGGATTTCAGATGAGGTAACATAAAGACATACAAAATGAAGTTAATATTGTATCGACTCCACTTAGACAGCCGTTTGCATAATATTCAAATATTATCTTGTATTATGTTATATAGATGATTATTAGTGCTGAAACATGACTTTTATTCAATTAATTTTTGATAAAACGTTGGATAAGTGGATATCTCTCAGAATAACTGATTCAATAGCCAATACTCTGGATCATAGGCAAAAGAGGGATGGATAGATAGATGGATATATGAAAATCAACAGTCTTCGTCTCATAAGTACTTCTTCAGTTGTCATAAGACGTAAGTGCATCACAACATGTTTTGAAAAGAATATCATGTATGTATATGTACACATATACACACATGAATGTATACATTTGCATGTTTATATATTTATGTGAATAAAGGTACTCACAGGCCTCTGAGGTATACATCCAAGTATTTCGGTTACGAGTTTCGGCGCTTCAATTATCAAAGGATAACCAAGCTCCCTGTAGGGCTTATTAATAGGGGCATATAATCCCTCAGATTGCTTTTGGTAGCATCTTCTCTGATAATTATTGTTTCGAACCTTTAAATAGCTAGAAACCATTGAAAAACTCACTTCATTCCTACTGGGAGGTGAAAACGAGCAAATCTCATGGTTTCTTGCTTGAACTTTAATATAACTCATTTGTAACGGCGCTTGACTCTGGCGTCATCGTTGCTCTCATTTAGGGCTTTCAAACAAAGTTCGGCTAACAATTCAATAGGTAATATCGTTTTTGAAGAGCTAGTGTAATTCAGTTTGATTCCTTAGTGGTAGATTCTTGGTTTTAAGGTACAGGTTCTTGGTCTTCAATGAGCTTCTGAATAGTTCGTCCCAACACTCGACTATCGTTACTTTGTTCGATTCCAAAAGGAGTGGTGCTATGATTAATTATGTACAGTTTTTAGTACGTGATGTGTTAAGACCATGTTGCTACTGTGAATGGAGTTTAAAGTTTTACCCGTTAGTCATCCAGTGTCATCGACAAAAAAGAGATGATAATAATAATAACAAATATAATTATTGTAGGTTTTGTGGACCAAAACAATAAATAGAAAGAAAACCTAAAAACAAAGGGCTGATGCAATCTGAATTTGATATATATCTATATGTGTATGTATGTATATATATATAATAAGTGAAGGTTTAGTAGTTGGAATAATCAGGAGAACAAGACAAGAGAGAATGTGAATAAGTAAAACGATAAGTTCAGGTGTCTACCCGTTGATGGTGAGTGAGATTTTAAGGGGATAAACCGTTTAGACACAGTACTTGTGTTGCTGCACGATTGTTCAGCCTTCGCTTAAAATTGTCCAAGGATGCTGCTGTCGCTTCATCTGCTGGCGGGGAGTTCCAAGGATGATAAACTCTCGGTGAAAGGAAGTGTGGGAGCACTCAAGTCTTTGCTCTCTGGTGAACTATCCTTCGCGCATCCCCACGGGGAGGCGTATACATATTTAATGGCAAAAAACCTTCGTTTGGGTGACTGTGGTTACTTGAAACCCTGTAGACAGTAATCAAGCCCCCCATCTAAGCCGACGGTAGCTAAGTGTGGAAAGGCCTAATTTCTTTAGCCGTTCATCATATGGTTTGTTTCGTAGACCCAACACATCTTTTGTATCCCGTCTTTGGACTCTTTTCAAAAGGCTTGCGTCTCTTCTAAGCAGTAGGGGTGCACTTCAAGGCGTGGCCTGACGTATATTTTGTACAACCTCAGAAGGAACTCAAAAGATAGTGCACTTAATTGTCTATGCATAGAGTCTATGATCACATATGCCCTTGCTACATCCTCCATGTAATTCACACTTTTGTCCATTTTTTCTGCTGGAACTAGATTCAAGCCACGCTCCGACAGTGTGCAGGACAAGATTTCATTGTACGGGATATAACTTGCATTCCGTAGTCTACATGTACGTAATTGCACTACTCTACACGTTTTCAGGGCGAAAGTCTTACCAATGGTCAGCGCCCAGTCTTCCAGAAGTTTTAGGTCTTCATGCAGCCTATATGAGTCTTCCAAACAATTTACTGCTCTATAAATCTTTACGTCGTCAGCTTAAAGAGTCGAGCAGCTTAGACAGCATGGTAGCTCATTGATAAGGATCAGCGTCACCAGTGGCCTAAGGATATAGCCCTACGATAGTCCTGATGAAGAGCTGTGTCGGGATAATCAGACACATTTGACCTCACTGCTGAATTTCCTTTCGTCTAAGTAGTCCTCCAACCATGAAAGAAGCGGTCCATCTCTACCTGCATGGCTTACCTTGTGTAGGAGGTTACGGTGAACCGTACCAAATGCCTTCTCAAATTCTGGGAAGGCCACATGGACTGGAATCTTCATATCTCACTATGATGTCCAATCGCTCTAAGCTGACAGTAGGTTTGTTACACAGGACCTACCTCTCCGGAAACCATGTTGTGCTCCACGGATTCTATTAGTCTTGTTGTGTAGTTCCGTGACGTGATAATCAATTATAATTCCCAGTAATTTTGATATCACTGGGAGTAGTGCTGCTGGTCAATAACGGATGGTATTTTGCCTGTCCCCACCCTTGAAAATAGGAGAAAGGATGGCTCTTTTCCACTCCCTTGGCAGTTTCCTTGAATCCACTGGGTGTTGGAACAGGTCAAATAATGACTCACAGAAAGCTTCAGGGCACCGTTTCAAAGCAGATGGCCTGATGTCGTCATAACCTGGGGAGTTTTCAGATATGAGCCTCTGCAACTTCCCTAGTACGATTGCCAGTTTTATTTCGAGCGTAGCCACTAGGTTTTCCCCTGGTTAATAGTAGTGCCGCCTTCTTGGACTATACCAATAACACCCACATTGCTGTTTGACTGAACACTTCAGTCATTTCCAAACTGGTGAGATAATGACCGTTTAGATCTACTAAGGTGCATGCCTCCTGGTTGGCTGATTTTCTCTCCGAGACGAACCGATACAGGCCTTTGGGTTCGCCAGATGCGTTTTCGCAAGGTTTGTCCGAAATGATCTCTTGTCACTCTGGACTCTTGTGTTGCACCGGTTCCTGAGTTCCTGGTATGCACTGTGGTCGGTCTGACTCTTGGATATTTGTCAAGCAGCGCAAGCCCTCCGCTTTGCTTGCAGAGTACGCTGCCAACTTCTCTTCAGCACAAAGGACCTTTTCTTCTGTTGCCTTTTGACTAGAGAGACGTTATGTGAGATTGTTGCGTGAATAATCTCTTCTGCCACCTCCCAGTGTTCGCCCGCCAATAACTCAACCCATTCTATAGCCTATTCTGCGTCCCGCAAAAATTTTCGCATTTTTTTATTATAGCTTGATTCCACACCATATTTATGATACATGTATGGAGTTTTCAGCATGTGATATCGGTAGCCCAAATTTTGCAGGCCGACCATAGATATCAGATGTTCGTCGGCAGAGGATCGAACTCCTGACTATGTGCATGATCGGCGAGAGTCCTAACCAATGTGCCACCGAACGCATCAGCATAGTCATCCTCGCAACAGAATAGAAATGGTCTCATAGAGTCCTACTGTCAGAGCTCATAATGAACACGATCAAGCCCTGTAACTACGTAATAAATACTCTACAGTGGGTCATGATTTCGACATTTTCGACCAGTAGCTGGTCACTAGTTAGAATACACTCTAGTTTCGACGACTTTCCACTAGGGACCCATCCAACGTTCTCAGTCAGTATGGCATTTCTAATGGTTTTTAACGGATTTCGACCGAATGTCCCTGGAGGATACCCCAAGCCAAGGTTTCGTGGGTGTGGCATTGAAGTCTTCAGCTAGAGTGGTTCGGTCACAGTCCAAGCCCAGTATCGCTGTGATAGTGCTGAGCAATCATTGGTTGTATCCACCCACCCCACAGATAGGAGTTCAACAAGTGTTGGGTCCATTGCAAGTACACATTTAAGTTGCTTGTCAAAGTATATGGCAACTTCCACTTCCTTGTTACCCCTGTCTCTCCTGACCAAAACCGTATCATTTATACTGATTTCGCTGTCGGCAATAGTGGGGTTTAGCCAGGTTTCAGTGAGGATGATTATTTTAAGGTGTAGGTGTGACTGAGGTTTCTGAGTTTGCCCACACTTCCTCTCAGCCCTCTCAAATTACTTTACAGGCGGCTGACAGTGAGTTCCGCCAGCTCAGCGTGTTGTGGGTTGGTTGACACTAAGCAGACTGCTGGTTGAGTATTTAGTACTTAAACTATTAGGCCGATTTTGATGGCACCGGCCAGTTGTCGTTTTTTCCCACGGATTCAAGTAGAACACTTGGGTGGTACTGACCGTCATTCTTAGTGCCGCATTCTGTGGTGTCACTGAGACATGGGGACGTACTGTGACCTCATTTTGCCGCCTTCTTGTGGTTCTGGGCTTTCTTTCTCAGCATTGGCTATGTCCTCCCATTCTACCCGTGGTCTCGTACCATCTTTGGAGTACTAGACCCAACTGTTCCTGGGAGTTGAATTTGACATTTGGAGAACTAATCAGTGTGGGATGAACGGAACGAGGTAATGAGAAAATTGAGATTGCTCCAGAAGCATTGAGGGCCGTCTGGGACGACTTCCATCTCAGCTGCTGTACGTCATGCACGCGCCTTTCAAAAGCAGTGCCAGTTTCCACCCCCGGAACAATGTGTGTGACCATGGAGGTAGAGGGCGTCAATTTCATTGACTCCGTCTCCATTTACCTTACTCGTATGTTGGGACTTCTGTCGATAGCCAATATTTGAGCCAGTAACAGTATTCTTTCGGTCTCTTCGGCAAGGCCCGATTTCTCCCTTTACGGAGACGGCTTACTTTGAGGTGCCTGGACACCTCCGTGTGGTCAGTACAATTTCGCCGAATTAACGTCCAGTCCTAATTGACTCCACGGAGTAGACCAACATCCCTGCTCAAACAGAGCTTCTCTTCCAAATGGACTACTGCTGTGAACTGGTACATCAAGCAGAATGAGGGAGATCGTTAGACTGATCTAAGACTTAGTTTTGGCCTTTGGTTGCTTGCCCCCCTTTGTAGGGTCGGTCACTTTAAACTTCATCAGGGTCCGACTAGTCCTTGTTATGTTGCCAGTGTGGCATCGGGATTTTGTCGGTTCAAACTGACGCCGTGACATCTTAACCGTTAATAAGCATTCCGCAAATGCCTTCTCCACCCTGTTGTTAGAATTGCTCTCATGCTGACGATGACGGTGCAGCTCAATATTTCCGTGTTCTCAGCCAGTGCATTCTGATGAACGCACCAGCACCAGCATCAATCATACCTGTGAGGTTTAGGTAACCACAAAATCTTTTGCAGTACACTCTGAATTCTTGACTTACCTGTCACAACTGTGCTTGTGTGCCATTTAACACAACCACTTTTTAACGCTTTGATTCATGAACTGTTTTCCTTATTATAATAATAATGTGTACTCTCATATAAACATATAAATTTACATGAAAATGCAAGCCATTTTTACAGGCACGATCAAGTATGATATAATATCAAATCGTGGATTGTCTACAAGTTAATAATGTTAGTTAATGAGAATGAAATTTGCCTGCCGTCTGAAACCCGGCATACATGCAGAGCGTTCATCTGTACAGTTGCGCAGTCGACAGCAAATGTTACTGTTTTGGATGCATCATCCGTAAATCTTATATAGTTTGCA